TTCCCTCTCTCCCTCCCTCCTTCCCTCCCTCCCTTTATTTTTTGGCAGTGCTGCATTTAGTGGATGGTTCATCATTGGTGTGTGAGAACAGAGCTATTTGTAGCTATTTGTTAAATTATCTTCATGAGCTGGATATGACTATGGCCTGAAACTGTTTTATTAAATAATATTGTTATTGGCCAAGGTAATTAGGATTTCTGAGAACTTAAATCAATATTTAGTACCACTGCACTTAGCATTAAAAAATAGTTAATATGTTAATTACTTGGATCATTCATTCCCTTAAAAGAATGTTAGGTCATAAGAAAACTGCATCTCAACCAGTTTTTGGTTTTGGTACTTAAGCCATGCTGTCAGCAAATGTTCTCTGACACTTGACAGAAATTAAAAATAGCAAGTTAAGCCACAAGGAGCTCTTAAATGTGTCGTTTGGCAAGAAAGAAAGCTGTAGACAGGCTGATGGTGAATAGTGAGTGGGTCTATAAGAGTGAGCTCCACAGCCCAGCATAGGAGGCAGCTCCTGCAGTCCATCATGAACCTTGTCATGCCAACGTAGAGTGAGATAAGTCACCTGAGTGACATGAGTCTTTTGTGTCTCAGATACTGTATATAATCTGTCCTTCCTGTTTTAGGACCCCAGTGCCTGGAATGGAGAACCACATTCCTGTCATATTCCTTGACCTAAATGGTAAGTTAGAGGAGGCTTCTGGAGGCTTATCTTGATGTAGTGTGACAGAGTCACACTATAGATCTAGCATCAGTGCTCCTTGTTCCCTAATATGATGCTGGACAAAGACTGAGTTGTTGGAAGTCAATCTCAGTATCGCTTTTACTTTGGTGAACTGTCTTCCTCCCTCCCTCCCTCCCTCCCTCCCTCCCTCCCTCCCTCCCTCCCTCCCTCCCTCCCTCCCTCCCTCCCTCCCTCCCTCCCTCCCTCCCTCCCTCCCTCCCTCCCTCTCTTCTCATTTCTGTCCATGTCTTTCTCTCCACAGAGCTGGGGATTGAGTCTAGGGCCTCACACGTGCTAGACAAGTGTGCCACCACTGAGCTGCACCCCAGCATAGCAGTGATGACAGTGATGAGCACATCTCCATGTTGCAGCCTTGCTTCTGTGAGAGTGCTGTTTCCCCATCAGTTTAGGATGTTTTTCTATACTGAAAATATGTTCTGACTTCATTGCTCAGAAGAAAACTTCTATCTAGAAGGAACCAGCAACTTGGGATACTATGTTTTCTTAGCATTATTTAATGATTTTCTCAGCTTTTCTGTGAGTTCCTGTGAACTTAACCCTGCTTGCTTATTTTTCTTTTTACATAACTGTTCCCCCCCATCCCCCCATCTTACTGGTCTCTGTCTATAGGAAGGAAAATAGAAATGCAAAGGTAGGTTAGGGAGCTAAAAATAAGAAGTCAGCAGCTAAGCTCCATGAAACACCTGCACAAGTGTGCATTAACACGAACTTCCCTAAATAGAAAAAAGCCTGGGCGTCCTCAGTGGTCCCCTCACCACGTGGATGTGTTAGGTATGTTAGGATGTCTGAGGGACCAGCATTCTGTGCCTGAGCGCACACATGCACCGGTTAGAGAGACATGGGGCGTTCACAGCACCTGTCTGTCCGTCCTGTGGGGTGAGAGCTGTCATGGAGACTGTTTACCTTGAGCTCTTGAGCCTGGAGGAGGAGTGGGCTCTGGCCTGTTCTTGTGTTGGGCTTCGTAGGCAGCTGAAGAAGCTTTAAGAGATTGGGATGGATTGAGGTTTAGAAAGATTTCTTAGCTGTGTGTTTGTTTTCTTCTCCAGATAAAATTTTTTGTTAGCATATAAAATAATGAATTTTGTCATGACATTTTCATATGTACATACATTGTGCTTTGCTCATATGGACCTTCTCATGTTATTCTTTGTCCTTCCTATGCAGCTTTCACGGGCCCTTCATTCTGCCAAGTCATACTCCTGCTTTCATGGCATGTGGATAGGCAGGCAGACAGATGAGAGATGATGGGTGGATACATAGATAGATAGATCTAGATTTACAGATGAGAGAAAATGTATTTGTGTTTTTTCTCCCTTGTTATAGTCTCTTCCCACCCCCCCTTTCCTCCCTTTCGACAACTCTCTGCCCCCCTTGTAGTTTCCCTTTTATTTTATATTCTGTTTGGGAAAAATACTTGATGTATGATGTTTGGCTTCTTTCCCTTAACATGATGATCTCTGGTTCCACCCACTTTCTTGCAAATGCCATAATGTCATTCTTCTTTATGTCTGAGTAAAAGTCCATTGTGTAGCTACACCGCATTAGCCTGGGAGGCTGAAGAGACCGTCAGAACTTTGTTCAGGACTCTGCATTAGTGGTCCACACAAGAACACTTACATTTGCTGTGTAATTTACAGGCTTAAGGTGGATGGGGCACTGAGAAGCCAGGCTTGGGACCGAGTGACCACAGGGCTCTGTGCACTTGCCAGGTCCATTAGCCAGTGTGCATTTTTGTTAGCCTTACCTGTCAGGAACTGCTCTCGCTTTCTTCTTGTCTCTTAAATGCACTAATGGGCAAGGAAATCGGACTGTGATCCCATCATTACCATTTATGAACTGACCTCTAGAAACCTCTTGGGCAGCTTGGCTTCCTTTGCCTTCCGTGTAAAATATGACACACGGAGAACAGCTTGGGTAATTTTTTGAAGCACTTTCTGGCTCTTGGGTCTGTAAACTATTAAATGGTTATTACCAATGTTATTTGGGATTGCAGTGCAGAAAGCAAGTGAGATTTGAAGCAGAAGAATTTTAATAATAAGCACGTTGTTGAGCTAGGGGGCGAGAGGAGGGTGTCCTTGAAAACCATCTGATGTTGAGTGAAAGCCCTGCTTTCAGCGGATGATTTCAGCTCTCAGGATAATCTCGATGACCCAGAAGCCGGATGGGATGCTACCCTGACTGGGGAAGAGGAGGAGGAGTTCTTTGAGCTGCAGATTGTGAAGCAATACGATGGTGAGGTAAGTCAGCATACCTGGAGAAGCAGATATGGAGCTCTCAGTCCTGCAGGAGCCTTTTGATGTCAGCAAGATAGTGGCCTCCACAGTGTATGTAGAAACTCTCTTAGTACCTAGAGAAAGCCAAGCTTGACCCTCACACTGTACTCCATCTACCTTCTCCCTCCCTCCTGTCAGTGTGGACCACATCTACTGGCTGTGCCTGTGCTCTGTTCCACCCTGAGAAGGAGGGGGGAGGTTGTTGATTCCACTGAAGTACAGGGAGCTACAGACTGGAAGGACATGGCTTTGGTATCTGCTCTGCAGTTCTTTTGTAAGAACTTTCATTACTGGGCCTCACTATGTAGCACTGACTGGCCTGGAACTGGCTAGGTAGGACAGACTGGCTTCAAACTCAGAGACCTACTTCATCTGCCCCCCAAGTGCTGGGGTTAAAGATATGGAACATGCCTGTCCTAAGACTTCCTTAAAGAGGAGAAAAAGGAAGCCAAGCCTGGTTGTACATATCTGTAGTGCTGGCATTTGGGAGACTGAAACATGAGGAACCTGAGTTCAAAGTCATCGTGAGCTACTTAGTGAGGCCATGTCTCAGAATAAAAAGAGCAAAAGAATAAATAAAGGCAGTGAGGCGGATTCATTGTTGAATGTATCTCATGGTTGAGTCTATGTGATGGGCATAATCCTGGGGGTTGTTCCCTGATTTTGAATATGCTTGGCAAATGGTACCAGCAGTAGAGCATCTGAGGAACTCATATACCTGCTGTTGGACATTAGCCCTGTTCCCCTCGATCACACTACGTCCTTCCTTAGCCCTAAACCTGCTTGTGTCAGATGTGACATGACAGGCTTGGGAGCACCACATGGTAAAGTAGACTATGGGGCCTTGACAGTTACTGCAGTTTGTAATCTTGGACTGGGAATATGGGCAAATCAAATACGATAACATCCTGGTGATTTCCTGGGTGTGATACTTACCTGCAGTTTACTTGAAAGTTATTGGTTTGCGGACTAAATGGGCAGATGGTCTCAGTGAGTGAAGATCAAGTACACAAAGTCCATGGTACTAAAAAATTTCAATCTTTGTTGATGTTTAAACATTTAAAAAACAAATAATTTAGCAGCAAACAGTCTAATATTTTAGTTAATGTCCTGTTGCTGTGAAGAGACATCATGCTCAAGGCAGCTAATAAAAGAAAACACTTGAGGGTTTGTTTATAGTTTCAGAGGGTTATTCCCTGATCATCATGGTGGGGAGTATGGCAGTAGGCAGGCAGGCAGACAGACTTGGCACTGGAAGTGTAGCTAAGAGCTTACATCTTGATCCACGATGGGTGTTGAGGGGGGCGAGAGAAGAACCAATAGAGCAAAGACTGGGCCCAGTGTAGGTTTTGGAAACCTCAAGGCCCACCTCTAGTGACACCTCCAGCAAGACCATATCTCCTAATCCTTCCTAAGCAATCCACCAACTGGGAATCAGGCATTCAGATATATAAACCTGGGTACCTAGGTATCATGCCCAATACTTTTTTTGTTCTTGTTTTATTTTTTTGAGATAGGGTTTCTCTGTGTAGCTTTGGTGCCTGTCCTGGAACTAGCTCTTGTAGACCAGGTGGGCCTTAAACTCACAGCGATCCACCTGCCTCTGCCTCCTGAGTGCTGGGATTATAGGTGTGTGCTACCACTGCCCGGCCTCCATGCCCAGTACTGTGCAGCCTCCATGGCAGTAGCTGCTTGCTCACACCCTGACAACTCTTCAGGGCAGTTCTTGAAAGAGAACCATTACTCAAGCTACGTGGCATTTTCAAGAGGGTGTGTGGCCTTGGCCAGGCAAGTGAAGTCTGTCTCTGCTTCCTCTGCAGGCGAAGGCAGAGGCCTCCTGGGACTCTGCAGTGCACAGCTGTCCCCAGCTCAGTAAGGGTACTCCTGCTGATGAGCGAGTGTTCCTCATCCTGCGAGTGACAGTCCAGCTCAGCCATCCCGCCGACATGCAGCTGGTCCTACGCAAGAGGATTTGTGTCCATGTTCATGGGCGCCAGGTGAGGCACTAGCCGTAGTGGGTGAGATGAATGATCACAGGCTGACTGTGTCACTAACACTAGGAACTCTGTAGACATGGTGTGTGGAGCTCTGAGCCTGCCTTTTCCAGGTTCCTGTTGCCGTCATTCACCATCCAGTCAGTCTCTGAACAAACATGGCCTTCTCACAGGACTCAGGGTAGATTCATAAAGGAGCCCTGCCTTGGGGAAGTCTGGTGGCTCTATTGTTAAGGGTTCTTCAGGAACAAGCAGCTCGAGGAGGTTCCTTAGTGGATCCGTTGTGTGCTCATCTGGGAGTGCTGACTCCTTTCTTCCCAGAAGTCTTTGATTCCCAGTTTGGTTCTAAAACATTGAATAGGAAGCAGTCTGGGTCTTTTGTTTTTATTATTTTTAATCTGTTTTTGTTTTGTTTGCAAAGCAAGGGTTCTCTGTGTAGCCCTGGAACTCCCTTTGTAGACCAGGCAGACCTCAAACTCGGAGATCCTCCTGACTCTTCCTCCAGAGTGCCGGGATTACCACAGCCGCCACCACCACCTGGCTTAGTATAGGTCTTTAAATAGCCAAAGTCCATTTGCCTTCCAAAGTTCCTAAGTGGGGTGCTGTGGGGTGGAGTGGATGGCATCCTGCCCACAGAGTAATGGGGAGGGAGGCTTTGAGCTGGCACTGTAGAGAGTGCTGGGTAGGCAGGCATTCAGGTGGCTTTCCCTACAGAAGAGATAGAAAGGGAGGGAGGAACCCTGACATAGAGTTTTCTAGAAACACTCCAGGTAAGATTTAAACCCTGTGTTACTGGATTTGTAAATGTGAGGATTTGGAAGGTGGGTTCTGGGGCTCCTCATTCACTCTGTCACCTCCTTTTTGTGGGCTATTCTGAACCCACAGGCTCAGATGGAAATAAATCTTCTCATTTGAAAGAACACAGTCATGGTTGACAGACTCTGAGATATAATCTCCTCCCCTAAAAATTAATCTTTAGTTCTAAATGTCGCCCTGATATCAATCTCTGCAATGAAGACTGGCATAATGCTGTTAAAATCGCAGCTCCTTAGCGCTCCAGTCCAGCATCAATAAAGTCCAGTCAGGGGTTAGCTGTAGAGTATTTGCGTGTCTCCAGCTCACTCCTGTGTCTCTGGGAGTCTAAAGGGGTGGAGAGAGGCCTTCTGCTCAGGGAGCTTCTTGAAGAGTGGGTTTCCATTTCTCCTTCTGCTGTCCCGGTCACCTGACCTGCAGCATCCCCACAGAGAGGCACAGGGAATGACATGTATTGTGTGGCAGGAGAGACATGTTCATTTCTTCCCCACCAGAGTGATTTGGTGGAATATTTAACCAGTGCCACTTTCCCCGTCCTTTAGTTCCTTTCCACTGCTTCTTCAGTTAGAACAGTGACAAACGCTGGGCAGCATGGCATCATTGGTTCATGCAGATAGTAAGCATAGTCAGGTGACCCTACACTCTACCACCCCTGAGGAACCACAGTCGTGCCTGGACCACATGTCTGTCTGTCCGAGTGCTACAAGGCATTGTTGGGGTCTTAAAGTGACGAAGGAAGTGAATGACCTCTTCACTCTAAGAGGCTCTCAGAGGTCAACCTCAGGTGTTCTGAGAGGCTCTTTTATTTTTTATTTTTTTGCCTTTTTGAGATAGGTTTTGTCTGTGTAACATCCCTGAAACTCATTGTGTAGACCAGGCTGGGCTCATAAAGGTCCACCTGCTTCTGCCTCCTAAATGCTGGGATTAAAGGTGTGCACCACCACTGCCTGACTGAGAGGCTCCTTTAAAAATTAGTTAACCATCACCAAGTGGGAACTCAATCATTATTAGATAGGATTGTACAATTACAGGTTTTTAGCACCAATTGCTCTTCTTCTTTCCCTCGGGTTTCTGCATGTTCCTGCCTCACCTTTCGCCTCGTGCCTATTCACTATTCCCTCCCCTTATCTTTATTCAAGTGTATTCCGCCCTCATGGCTGCTCTCTTCAACCTCTGCAGAATGTTCAATCTTCGCAGCATCTCCAAATGAGTCATCTATGCATTAATTCAACAGTTCAATTCCTAACTGTGCAAAGAGCGCAGTCAGCATAAACAATGACCAGGCACTCTTAAATCATCCTTCATAACGATCCTGCTTTGGTCAAGAATTTAATGCCTGAACTTGTCAATATTCATGGTATGAGACGTCTATCGTGCTGGAGGAGGAAAGTGTAAGCGTCACCAGTCCTTGCTTCCATCTTACTTAGAAGGTCATTTTGTTGTAGCTCATGTCTTCTGAGTTTATCCAGATGCATGTGGCAGCTTCCAGGCCCCAGGTCTGACTTCTCCCTTGTTGGGTGCAGGACCGACGCACACTACAGGTGCCAGTCCACTGATTCTGTGCTTAAGTGAGGACTCTCATGCTCCATGTTAGAAGCCTGCTCTACTACTGGCTCTTTGTTACAGTAAACAGAGCTAGCTAGCGGGGGAGGAGTAATGGTCTCTATTTTATTTTTCCTCTAGGGCTTTGCTCAAAGTCTCCTCAAAAAGATGTCTCATCGGAGCTCTATTCCTGGCTGTGGAGTGACCTTTGAGATTGTCTCCAATATTCCAGAGGTAAAGGATTCTCTGAAGTTGGAACTGAAAATAAAAATAAACACTTAAAGAACTAGCTCCTTGAAAAGCCACCCTCCCAAGAACTACTACAGCCAGTGATACAGGCTGGCGAGATGTCTCAGCCAGTAAAGGCTCTTGCTGCCAAGCTTGCTGACCTGAGTTTATTCCATCCCAGGAAGCCACTTGGTTGAAGGAAAGAAGCAGCTCTGCAGGTTGTCCTCTGACCTTCACACAAGTGTAAATGCACCCCTCCCTACCACAAACAACAAATAAATGTAAAACAATGAACCATCTATTTAGGGAAATGCTATAGATTTTTTGATGAGTCTTCTACCTCAAACTTTTAGTATAATGTGTTTGTGACCTTAAAAGTTGAGATTTTAGCATTTTGTATAATTTTTTTTTTAACTGAGTAAATGTGTAAGAGACAGCGCGAGAGAGAGTCGAGGAGAGGGAGATGTGCCATGGGCGTGTCACAAAGGACAACCTTTGGGACTTGTTCTCTTCCTCTACCTTGTTTGGAGGTGGGCTCTTCCTCCATCATTAGCCATTGAGCTTCCAGCCAGGTCTCCTGTGTCTGCCTCCCATCTCCTATCATAGGAGGCCTTGCCTCACAGATGCAGCCTACTTCTAGCTTTCTGCTGGGGTCAGGGTCAGGTAACCAGACTTGCACTGCAGGCGCGGCTACCCGCTCAGCCATCTCTCTAGTCAAGAACTCCATTTTGAAAACTTCTTATTTTAAAACACAGTAGACAGTAGTAATATGTTAATCACAGGGGTGGAAACTGCCCAGTGTAGAGACTTGTATCTGATGTGCAGCCTGAAGAAGGCCAGCAGAGTGAGCTTGCTTGCTTTACTCTGAATCGGAGAGTGACATCTTCAGAGCAGAGGGGGACACAGGTACCGGAGTCCTGGGGCCTCCCCACGCACTGTCAGCACTGCCTCCTGATCTTCACTAGGCCTTAGAGTTTGCGGATTGATTCTGCTGTTCGAATAGTAGGTGATCAACACATGCTTTATAGGCAAACAGCTGCCGGCACCTGGACTTTTAGAATTCTTAAGGCTATAGGAAGCCCACCAGAGGTGACCATTCAGACACAGTGTATAGCCAACTTCAAGTCTTTATTCCAGCTGGGTAGGACCACATCCAGGTACTTGGCGACCTAGGTGTGACCCTGAGTGTTGAGAGCACAGGGTTTTTTTTTTTTTTTTTGGTTTTTCGAGACAGGGTTTCTCTGTGGTTTTGGAGCCTGTCCTGGAACTAGCTCTTGTAGACCAGGCTGGTCTCGAACTCACAGAGATCCGCCTGCCTCTGCCTCCCGAGTGCTGGGATTAAAGGCGTGCGCCACCACCGCCCGGCCGGCCGAGAGCACAGGGTTTTTGAAAGCAAAAAATCACACCATGATCTCTCCACAGCTATGGGGGGAGGGGCTTCACAGAAGCAAGCAGTTTAATAGAGACTAAGATAGTTAGCTGTAGGGGTTCTACACACACAGGCTCAGTTACCTATCCTGACCTTGGGTCCCTAGGATAGAGTTGGGTAATTTTTCATGAGATTCTCCATCAAGAAGACCAAATTCTAGTTAAATCTGAAATGATCTCAGCAAGAATATAAGATGGAGGAGCCTCTGTACTGTCTTGCCCTATGACAGTAATGTTGTAAAACTTCTTGTCCCTTAAAGCATCCAATAGTAATTGTTTCTTGAGTTTTCAAAGTTAGCCTTACATATTAAACATGAACTATTTAAGTATTTAACTCGGAGTGAAGCATCTTTGACATATGAAAACTAGACTGTTGCCAGGTGTGTACATGTCTATAATCCTAGAACTTGGGAAGCTGAGGTAGGAGGGTCATGAATGTGAAGCTAGTCTAGGCTACTTAGTGAGACCCTATTGTAAACAAGAACCCCCCAACAGCCAAGGACTAAGGTGTAACTGTGATAATGCCCTTGTGCAGCCTGTGGGGGGGGGCTGGGGGGGCTACATTCATTCCCCAGCAGTCATCAGCCAGTCAATCAGCAAGGAAGCCTTTTGCAGCAGTAGAATGATTATAAATCTTGGCCCTAGCAAAGATTACTCTACACTTCATTCATTGTTCTTTCTGGGAATTAAAAGGAAAGGGTTGTAGGGGAATCAGCTTAAACTAAGCCCCCTTGTGTGATTGAATGGTTGGTAATTGGCTAAGCTTCCAGAGGCAGCCAGCATTGTTTCCTCATCCTCTCCTGACCCACAAATTTCCCATTTATGAGCATGGGCAGCTCAGTCAGTAGAATAGTGTGGGATTTCACATCTGTTCTCCAGAGCCTTTGGCCACTGCTGCTCCCAAGGGAGGCCTGAGGCAGCGTTAGAAGCTCAGCAACCTGAGTGTCTGTATCAGGCTGCTTCGCAGCAATGAGGGCCCTACCCTGCCCTCCTCCACTCCCTTCTCTACACTGCATCAGCACCCCACTTGGGTACCAGGGTTATTAGGTCTCCATTTTGTCTAGTGGGCTGACCCAGCTCCCATGAATCTCAGGGATGCTACCTTCCTGCAGAACTGTTGTTGTCTTGGTGATTGTATTTCCAATAACCTGCAGAATCCTTTCCAGTAGGTAACTGGTAGTGAATGTTGTTTGGGAAGTGGGAACAACTGTGTTTGGAATGCTTGTGAGAGCTACTATTTAACCAGCCTTCCTGGTTAGCCCGGTACTTGGTGATGGTTCATGATTTCTGGGGGGAAAGTACATTTTGAGTTCTAAAAGCAGATGTTGAAATGGGACTTTGGATTCCATGAATTTTTTCAGTTTGGAGTTCTATGAATATATACATGTATATGTGTGACTGCATGTATCTGTGTGTGGAAGCATGTACATGTGTAGCATGTGTATGTGAAGCATCTATAATGATGTCTTCATTTAGTTTTAACATGCCTCTTTCTGTTCTTCTGGATGACAGAGAGAGAAAGGAGAGAGAGAGAGAGAGAGAGAGAGAGAGAGAGAGAGAGAGAGAGAGAGAGCGAGCGCGCGAGCGTGTGTGTGCGGAATATCTGTAGTACTTCCCTTTTCCGCCCATTTTCATCATGCATCGTTGTGTTCTTCAGGATGCCCAGGGAGTAGAGGAGCGAGAGGCACTGGCAAGGATGGCAGCTAATGTGGAAAACCCAGCTTCTGCCGACTCCGAGGCCTATATTGAGAAGTACTTAAGGAGTGTGCTGGCTGTGGAAAACCTCCTGACTTTAGATCGCCTTCGTCAGGTTAGTGATGGACAGCGGTGCTATGGTGGAGTACTGTCTGGCTTATATACTTCACCCTCTGGAGTATGGGGTTGTTGCACCTGAAGTTTGAAGAGTTTACTCACCCATAATCCAGTGATTGCAGTGGGGTCGTTCTGTCTCGTCAAGTCATGGCTGGTATTTAAGGAATGTGGGGAAAATCTTGAGCATGTGTGTTGGCATGCATCTTTCACATGTACCTCTTCTTGGTGTGTTCTCCATTCCCCAGGAAGTGGCCGTGAAGGAGCAGCTGACAGGGAAAGGGAAGCTGAACCGGAGAAGTATTAGTTCACCCAGCATGAACAGGGTGAGTCCCTTCTGCTGCCCTTGGGGAGCTGCTGCCTTTCTGGCCTCTTGTTTGGATGCCTGTCTGCCTCCTTGCAAGGGATCTCAGCTGCCTCTAACTTCCTTGTGCTGGTTTTAAGTGCCTTGTCCCTTCCCTTGTCACATCTGTGCCCCCTCTGCCACTGTGCCTGCTGCTGGAGCCAGGATGCTTGCTTGAGTGTCATTGGCACACATTGCTCATTTGTCCTCCGCCACCTGTCCAGCACACGTTGGGAGGCCACAAATGTGTGTGAAGCTAAATATAAGCTAGCTGCCTGTCCAGGGCCTGGAAGTCATTTTCTGTGCTTTAATTCATTATTTTTAAATTAGAATGCTTGCAATATGTTAGTAGACCAATTGCTTGAAGGCCATGTAGGGGAGTGTTGAAATAGGAGCGGCTGGGCTGCGTCCCCAGCACCCTGGCCGCCTGGCTAGCTTATGCCCCGAAATAACAACACACAAACTGTATTCATTTAAACACTGCTTGGCCTATTTCTATCTAGCCTCTTCTAGGCTAATTCTCACATATTAATTTAGCCCATTTCTAATCATCTGTGTATCACCGCTAGGTGCGCTTACTGGGAAGATTCTAGCCTACGTCCATCCTAGGTCGGAGCTGCCTGGGAGAGAGGAGCCTGGTGTCTCTGAGCTCACTTCCTCTTCCTCCCAGCATTCTGTTCTGTTTACTCCTCCCACCTATGTTTTAACCTATCAGGGCCAAGCAGTTTCTTTATTGCTTAACCAATGAAATCAACAGATTGATATATGACACTCCCACATCAGGGGAGTATGAATGCATAAAATGGGTTATATGAGTTTCATAACTATGGCTGAGATTTGTTGATTTTAAAAAAAGGGTAAGGGACTGGAGAGATGTCTCAGAGCTTAAGACCATTGGCTATTCTTCCAAAGGTCCTGAGTTCAATTCCCAGCATCCACATGTGGCTCACAACCATCTGTAGTGCTGATGTCCTCTTCTGGTCTGCAGGCAGACATGCAGATAGATCACTTGTATATATACAATAATAAATAAATCTTAAAAAGTGTTTAATTTATATGTATATTGAATATGGAGATAATTGTTGACAAATAAATATGCTCTTTATCTGTTCCTCATTTCCATGAAGAGTAGGCCATTTTTGTCCTCGGCTGTGTTTGTGAGTGACAGGAAGGACAAGTTTTCCGCTGGAGAGCCTGCAGGTGTAGAGGTGCAGGAGACATGTCTGACCACTGTAGGCCCACTTTCAGGCATGTAGTAATGCCACTGTAGTTCCAAGTCACTGCAGTAAGTTACTGACACATACTGGCATCTGCAGAGATGTTGTATTTGGGATACTATACTCTGAATAGTTTATTTCTCAGATAAAGAAATAAACTGTCCATGGTAGGATCCAGTGGCATTAAACGGAAGATGTGAAATGTCTTCTCTTCAGGCCCAGGGAAGTGTCACCTCAGTGGTGTGTAGCAGATACTAGAGCCTAGGTAAACCACCATGGGAAGGTACTGGTAACCACTCAGTGGTTTTCACCATCTTGCTTTGGTTGGTTGGTAGGTTGATTGGTTGGTTGAAATTATGTCTTACTATGTCTCTCTGACTGAGTTGGAACCAAGCTGACCTCCGACTCACTGTAATCTTCCTGCCTCTGCCTTCCAAACACTTGGATTATAGGCAGAGGTTTGTGAGCTCAGGCCCTGCTTGATTTGGTTTTCAAAGAGGACTTTCCAGAAATTCTCTGATTTTACACTAATCCTCTTTATCTCTCCCCAGTTGTCTGGAAGCCGGCAGGAGCTTAGCCCCTCCCACAGTCTGGGCAGCAACAAGGTGAGGTACACTTAGCTCCTTGCCTCTTTCATCTTCTCAAACCTCTGTATTTGCATATGTCCCAACTCTTACTTCACATCTGAGCTACGCTATATGTATTGGGAATAGTTCCACATTTGTTTCTCTGATCCTGCCATTGAGATCCACTAACACCCTCTTATTATGAGAATTAAAAAGCTTATTTTGCTAATTTTTTTCTTTCTACTTGTAATAGTCATTTTATTTCTGAAGACAAAACTTCAGATTGGATTTATGATAGTGAAACTATGATATAATGATCTTACAAAGAATAAGAAACATATATTTATAATTATTGTTGTTTGTTAGAAGAAAGGAAAATGTGCAAACCCCAGGAACAGAGTTTTACGCAGACAGAAATTCCCTATAGTTTGCCTAAAAATGTCAGTGCCCCTTGCAGCTGCCTGATCTGGGGGATCCCCCACAGTTTGTTCTTGTCACTCTGAGGTGCCTGGCTGAGTGTTGGTGCTGTGTTGACGGGATGACCCTAGAGTAGGTCTGGAGCTTGCATTGTCATGGCGGTGGTGTGAGGTGAAGGAGTTACTTCAGATGGCTGGGGTGGGGGAGGGGTGTGGGCACATAAAGACTGGCTGATTGACAGTAGTCCTTGAGGCCAAATGGTGTCCACGAGACTGTTTCTGTTCTTGTTATTCTGTACTCGTCTCGTATTAGACATTTTCTTTATGAAAGTATAAAAACAATGAAGATGAAGTTAATGACTAAGGTTCGTTGTAAAGATCCAGATGCTGTTACCATGCCTGAAACCATAACCACGCTCACACTTGAACTCACACAGACACTGGAGGAGCTGCTCAGCTGGTGCATGGTTTTCATGGCTTGGGCCGAACTGTGATTTAGTTCCTGCATCAGTGGAAGGAAGCAGAGCTTTTGGGGACTTGATTGTGTGAGGATTTTTAAGTGTAAATATAGGAAGTATTAAGGGAAATATATATAGTAGGGGAAAAAAAGTGACTTTGTGTGTTTTGGGGGAGGTGCATCTAACCCAAAGCCCCAGTTACAAGTTCTTTGTAAGGGCTGGAGAGATGGCTCAGTGGTTAAGAACATTGACTGCCCTTCAAGAGGACCTGGGCTCAAGTCCCAACACCCACATGGCAGCTCACAACTGTCTGTAACTCCAGTTCCAGGAGACCTGAACATCATGGCAAAACACTAATGCAAATACAATTAAAATAAAAAAAGACAAAATCAGCAACAACAAAACCCAAGTTCCTCATAAGAAGTGGATGAGATTTCTGCTTTTCTATGTCCTCATGCTTTCCTTAACTTAAAATGGAGACAGTGACAGGCAGCAGCAGCATCTGCATCAGAGAGCAGGGCCATGCTTTGTCTACCAGGAGAGAGGGTGAAGGGACTTATCAGGCGGAGGAGATGAAGCACTACACAGAAGGGACACCTGCTTTCCAGACATCCTGCAAGGGTTGCAGAGAGGTGGTGACCATGTGTGGAGCCCCAAGGGTGACCCAAGGATGACCCTGCGGTATACACAGGCAGGTGCAGAGCCAGAGTCCGCATTTTGGGCAGAAGTTGCTGCATGACCACAGAGGAGTGGAGGGAAGCCAGGGAGGAGGGGCCTTGTTTGGAAATCGCAAGTGACCATATGCTGAGGAGCAGTGGTGGTGGGGGGGCACTGTCAGACTTGGACTGGATAGTCTGAGGGGTCTGTCTGAGCCCAGCCATCCTATTGTTGACAGGTGTGTAGAGCACTGCATGCAGTTGATGCAGTTGTCAGTGCAAAAGCCGCAAGCTTATCTGGATTGGAAAGACTGGAGGGGGACAGAGCTGCCCATGGGGAAGAATAGGAGGAGATACTGATACCAAGGAGATGGATTTTAGGACCCTGCGGGTAGGAAGAAATGGCTGGGGAAGGAGAGGACTAGGTGCCATTCAGAGTAGATTACTGAGAAGCAGGCTGTGGGAGGAGCAGGTGAAGTTGTGTGTGTGTGTGTGTGTGTGTGTGTGTGCGCGCACGCGCGCGCGTGTGCACACAGAGAGGGAGATAGGCAGGCAGACAGACAGGCAGATCTATTGATCATGTCGGACCCTTCCAGACTTTGAGACAGCATTTAGGATTGCTTGGGACGATCCTGGATGACCACATGCACCTTCCCAGGCTGTTTCTGCTGAGCCTCTGGCAGTCTACCTGTGTTGTATTGCTCTATTTAAGGGCACAGTGCTTCTTGTTGCTGTCCTAGGAGCTGCCCTTTTGTGTTCTGGATTTCTTGGGGTTCCTGAATAACTTGGAGAAAATGGCAGTCTTGTTTTCATCTACTCAGATTTGGCTCATGTGATGGTTCTGTCCTCTTGATTTGGTCTCCCCAGTCTTTCCTATAAACCCCCAAGAGGTGTGGCCTCTGCCTGGGGCTTGGAACAGTTTACAGTCCTCAGATCTTGACCTTTATCTTTGTGCTGGTCATCAGGAAACCTGGTTTCCATGGCTGTCAGTTCCATGGTGGAGATACCTTTGCATGCTCCTGTGAGCCTAGCTGTGATCACCCTTGAGTACCACCTTAGGCTTTGCTTTTGCCCCTGGGTCAGGAGGAGAACTGCTCTGTCACAGATGCCTGTAGATAGGACAGGCAGATGGCAGCAGACAAGAAAATTCCAGCCAACATCACTTGCGGGTCACAGGATAGCTCCCCATTTTCCTATGACGGGCCCCACAGTATTATGTAAAGATCATTAGCTCCCAAATATGTTTTAAGTCATGTCTTTTCACTAATGAGAAGGAAGGGACAAGGTTCACCCTTTGGCCCATTAAGGACATCATTACATGTGTCATTACGTCTATAGAAAATGGGTTATGAACATTTGTAGGAGCATTCCTTGAGCTGGACAGTGTTCAAACTGGTAGACAGAAGGTCAAAGGGCCTGTCAAACCCTTACCAACAGCAGTGCTTACCCACGGTGACTTGGCATGAGTACTAGGGCGAGCACTGCGACATCCTTCCAGGGGCAGAGGAAACAAACACATACACAGGCACATGTACACACACAGACACACGGGCAGAAATAATCCAGGCATTCTTTTGGCCCTATAACTTTACAGAAGCAGACCATCTTGATTTCTCCTCAAGGAAGTATTTAATGTCCAGGGAGTTGAGGAGTTGAGTCCTACAGATTTCAACCCAGACTCGGTGATGCTAAAAATGCTAGAAAAATGCATTTTGAAATCATCAAATACTATACTCGTGTTAGTTATGTCTATCTTGCAGGCTTGCATGAGGTCAGCTCTGGTTTTCTCTTAATCTGTTCACTGCTCTCAGCTCCACGCTACAGATCAGCACCATAAGTTAGAATGTGAGGTGTGGAATCCCAGACATCACAGGCCTGTCAGAGAGCATCCACTAGCCAGCTCCAGTCTCTTCCCGTGCTTGTGGCTTCTTATGTCAGAGTAGAGAAGCATCCTTGGGAGCAGGAGTAGCATTAAGAGGTGTCAAGATGACCCTAAAGGATTCAGTTAATGGAGTAGTGCACATGTGTGTGTACATGTGGGTGTGCATGTGTGCAAGTGTGTGTGTATCCACCTTTACCTTTATTAGTTATTTACTGAAGCTCAGAATTGCTTCATCAAAACTGAATTGATAAAGTAATTAATTAAAGAGCTTGGTTTTCGCTTTAGAACCTAAAGCAAATCGTTCTTGGGATGTTTTCCAATTAAAAATATGAAATATGACCAAACCGAAGTGGTGTTTCTGCTTACAGTTATTGGATGCATTGCCTCTGTTCTAAAAGAGATTTTTAATAGACGTATTGAAATGGATTCTTTATGATCATCTACCACTGGGTATCTCGATGCAGAATTAATTTCAGCTCTTGCTGGCCCTTGCACTGAGACCTTCTGTGGTGCAAGGACAGCTGTCAACAAATCTGTTGTCATCCTAAAGCCATTGTAGAGGAGGTCCTTTCTACTAAAGTAGTAGGGCAGGGTGTTGTCCTCTGAGGTGGGTTTGGTTTTGTGGTGCTTTGTGAGGTCCGAGATGGAATGTGGGACCTGATGTATGCCAGGGAATTGCCCTGCACTGAGCTGTATTCCCAGCCCTCGGGAGTTCTGATGAAGTTTGAGTCAGCTGGTACCTTGAGCATGTGCAGTTAACAAAGCTTCCTGGAACTGCCATCAGCTCAGCTGTGGCTCTAGAGATGCAAGCATGAGTCACCACCCTCAGCCACTTAGCCTGGGGACCGGAAATGACATGGCATCTCTTTATGTACTCTTTGTCGCTTTCCTCATTGAAGTCAAAGTCTTTTACAGAAAAGCAAAGACTTATACTTGGTGGAGGAGCAATGGCATGCTGGAAGACCACAGGTGGAGACTCTGTTGGCTTGGTTGTGCTTCCGAGCCTCGGACCCATCTCAAAGAGTCTCTGTGTGGTCTGGGTGGGGATCCAAAGAATCCAGGGTTATTTTTCTAGTATCTCCATAGCTGATTCTGAAGCTCAGCAAGGGAGTAGATGTGTAGGAGTGGAGGAGCCAGTCTGGGGAGGTTCCACGTGGTGCCAGGTGTGCATGACCATGGCAGAAGTAAGGCGGTGCCAGTGCCTTTTCACCTTTAGGTCTGAGCTGTTTGAGAGAGCCCAGAAAATTCTAGAGCAAAATTTTCAAAGCCCTTTCTCCTCATAGTCCCAAGTTCATTCCCTCTGAAGTACATTTGAGTGGTGACTGATTTTGTTTGGTTTATTTTTGTTCTCTCCCCCGACATTTCAGCACAGAGAAACTAGCAGAGCCAGGCAGGTGGAGTTTACCGCAAAGTCAGGACTTGCCCTGGCCCTGGGGGTAGAGGACCCATGGCCCTGGGCGGGCAGCCCTGCTCTGAGCATTCCGTTCATCTCTGAGCTGTGCAGGGGGGAGAGGACCACTTAGTCGGGGATGTCTAAGGAGTTCTGAGTGTTGGCAGAGAAGTGGGGACCCAGCCTCCTCTTTTCTGTCCCTAGGAAGTAGAGCCCAATCTGCCAGGGCGCTGGGATCCTGACTCTGGGCAGTAATGCTGGCAATGGGTGACTGTGAGGTTCCTTGTCTGTCCTGACTACGGGGACCTGTGTTGGGGTCCATGGTCTCTGTCTGCCGTTATCACAGGCCTGCTATGCTTACACTGCGTGTTGTCTGAGCCTGTCATTTATTTACACTCGGAGTATAGGGTGTGAAGCAGGACAGACCACTGCTGCTGCTCGTCCTCAATGGGAGCCCTGAAAGTGCCTCGGAGAAGTGACACCTCCTCCAGTTGTTACTGGTCAACTCTGTGTCACATAGCCTGGATGCTGACTGCAGATCAGCTGCTCAGTTTCCTAAGGGACACAGTGTGGCTGTGGCTGCTGCCAGACGAGAGAGCTAAGATATTAGAATAAATTTCCTCTGAAATGAAGTAAGTTGTCTTCCGAACAACCTTGTGTGAACTTGACACCATGAACAGAGCTCAGTGTCTCTTCTGCTGAGATCTTCTGAAGCTACTGACCTTAGTGTTCAGACATCTGACCATGACACCCCAGAGCACCTAAAATGGGCAACCTCCCAAGAAGGTAATTAAGTTAGAATGCAAAAAAAAAAAAAAAAGCCACAGATTAAGATCTGTAAGTAAGCTTGTGATCTGTAGGTGTGCAGATGCCCAGCTGGGGATGTATTTCTTACTGCCCTGATCATGTGCTCGAAGTCTGTTTTGTTTTCTGTTTCCTAATGAGTGCCCAGAGAGAGAACATCTCTCTCCCCCCCCCCTTTTTTTTAATGCCATCAAGTGCTGAGCAAGTTCTCAGCGGTGAACATGATCCAGATCACTTAGGGCTTATTGATTTTATGATCAGTCCTTTGGTTGCTGCTAAAAGCAGATAGATTCCTAATCCATGTAGGAACCTGTGGGGCTGCCCCCTTCAGTCCCTCTTGAGCCTCTGAGGACTCGCCGTCTCTGCTCTGTTTCTTAGCATTCTCAGGGTATCCTAGTTAACCTGGGCCATCTGTCGGCAGAACACTCAGTTACAATAATATTAAAACTGTTACTTGACCTCAGTGAGAAAGACAGGAGTTGTTACCACAGGACCAAAGGGAACTTAAGATCTGCTCACACTTTGGGGCTCAGCACCATGCTGCCCAGAGGCAACTTCCTAGAACCCTGGGAAAAGGAGGCCCCCACCCATTCCTGAACTCCAGTAGAGACATCGGAGTGAGGACGTCAGCTCCCAGCCTCAGGAGCTGAGGCAGAATTAAGGGGCATTTATTTCTAAAGGAGCAGTTACAGCCCACCCACGTGGCTGTGTTGAGGTGGCAGGACACAGTGAATGTTGGGATGGGCTTGTTGGAAGCCACAGGTTGTAACGTGAAGAGAAGGTCTGCGGTGAAGACTCACCACGAGGGGAATCAGCCCCAGTCCACAGTGAAGACTCACCACGAGGGGAATCAGCCCCAGTCCACAGTGAAGACTCACCACGAGGGGAATCAGCCCATAAGCATGAAGAAGGCCGACAACCAGCTTTCTATCCAAGACAGAATAAAGCTTTAGTAATGCTAATTGGTTTATCCTGGGATATTATATAATTTTTTCATAAACTTATTAATTTGAAACAAATTGACTTATCTTTGTCCTTGTGTGTAACAGGGCCGGTGGGAAAGTCAACAGGATGTATCCCAAATACTAGTTTCCAGCAGAATAACTTCAAGTCCTCCAGCTCACCCTGTTTCTCCCCAGAATAACCAGTCTCCTGATCCTGGTGAGTTGTCTTCATCTGCTAATCACTGCCATGAAATGTGAGCATCTTTCAGAAAAAGATTCTGTCAGGATGTCCTGGTGGTTGGAGTGTTACCTTGGTTTTGAAGGGTGACTTTATCCTGCATTCCTCTTGATAAGTCACCTTGTGCCCATGTTGGTTTGTTTGCTAACACTTGTGGGTTTTTACCTACGTGTTCCGTGATGACTCAGATGGGTTAGGTTTGGTGTCATGCTTCTGTTAACCTCACACAATGACTTGGGAAGCCATTCTCCTCATCTCCTCTGCATGGGTTTCTGTGGGATTGGCAATACTTACTCCTGAGATACTTGACAGCCTTGCCCAGTGACATTGTCTGATTGTATTGATTATTGTTTATTTTCATAAATATCACAGTATTATTCTGGTTTTTTTTTTAAAAGATTTACAGCCGGGTGTGGGGCGCACACTTTAATCCCAGCACTAAAAGATGCCTTTAGTAGTTCATACTGCTAGATTTACTTACAAATGACACTTGGAAAATACATAGAGCAAAAGTTATGTGTCATTGTTTTTATTTTGTCCTGTCTCTTTCTGTTTATTTGACAGGACTGGGTGGCATAGCAGCCTCTTATTTGAACCCAGTAAAGTCCCTGGTCCCACAGATGCCAAAGCTGCTGAAGTCACTCTTCCCTGTCCGTGACGACCGAAGAGCCAGACAGTCATCTCCCCTTGCACACCAGGTGAGGAAGCCATAGTGAATGTTTCTCTGATGTGTGCTGGCATTGTTGTGTTGCTGTTCCAAAGCCGGAGGTAGAAGAACAGCCCTGTGGGTATTAGAGCCGGCTCTAGCCCTGGAAAGCCTGCGATAATGTCCCCTGCCCTCCCCTCCCTTCTGATAGCAGAGCTGTTTGAATGTATTGACACTCTATCCTTTCTGCTCCAAAACAGAACGCCAAGTCTGCTACTAATGTGATTTATGGTGATACCGCTTAGTGCAACAACAGTCAGATGTATAGAGGTGCACTTAGTGTTGTTTGTGTTGCCAAGTAGAAAATGTAATTCTATTTTTAATCTTGATTTCATTTTTCTTTTCAAACTTTTTTGAATCATGACTCTCCCCCCCAACTCCCTCCTCCTCAGTAGACAATCAGTTCTTTGACTCAAAGTGGTCCTTTGTCTCCCTTCCTTTTAAAAAAAAAACTTTGCCTAGCAATGGAGTAATTATCAGAGAAAATGTTCTAGGAAGCTGCTTCTATGCAGCGGTGAAAGGAATCCACTTGGAGATGCAGCCTGCAGTCATGTGGGCGTTAACTCGGAAAAGGATGACTGAGGAAACACAAACCGTGCAGGTGCGTTGTTGAGATGGGTCTTTTGACATCAGCTCCCCCATATTTCGCATGTCCGAGTGGCGGGAATGTAGGTCAGGAGCTGTCGGAGGCGGAGCGGCTCCTGAGGACTGTGTGGAGGCATCTTCAGGAGGGGTGCTGCTGGTGTCAGTTAGGCATGCGGAGAGAGCTCCTGCCCTGTGTGACACAAGCGTGCACATCAGCACATGGAGCAGATGGCAAAATGAAACACAACAATTTTGAAAATGTTGAAACTGAACTTAGCTAAGCAGGTCCAGGGTCACATGACAGTTATAGAGACACATGAGTGAATGGAGGCTCAGCAGGCAAAGCCGACTTCCGCAGTGGTTTGTCATTATGCACACCGTGCTGTTTTAAACTTGTCATCATTGATTTGAGGGTCTATCCGATTCCTAAAGTAACTTCAAAAAGAACTGCACTTCCCCAGTCTATCCTGGTGACCCGCATTCGTGTGCACCGTGGTGACTTCACATCAGCTTCAATGGCCACGGTTTCTCAGCTGTTGTTCAGATGGAAGGAAATGGGAGTCCTATTGAAGACGAGGGGCTTTTGTTAAGCTATGTTCAGCTCTTACCAGAGTAAGTCAAAGCCCTGGTTGCACGTGAGAGCTCACTTCTGCTCACAGTGTTCCTGCACTAAAGCCATGAGCTCTGGCTAGGATGGAAATGGCAGCTGTTAGAGACAAAGCCCCTAACGGGAGCAGAAAGGCCGTCTGTCATATCCAGGTGACAAGATGTCCTAGAGATTTGGAAGGTTTTCTGAGCAGTTTCTGTGCACTTAAGTGTACTTAGGTTTTGAGCACACATGAGCAAGGTTGAGGCTGACCTTGTACAAATACTTTGTGAATGTATGAAAATATAAATTAACATTGGACTTAGTGACAATGCCTGGTGGTGCAGCTAAAGCATTAGCTGTGATTTGTGAAGCCACCTCTCTGGGGAAGGTGTCTCCTTATCCTCAAGGTTGCACACAGTCTCTGTCCTCATCTGCATAGAGCTGTCAGCCTTGCTGTCACTAACAGCATGTCCTCCTTGGTGGCCTCTCCTAGGCTACGTGTCTGGGTATCTCCTTGACCCTCTGTATTTATTCCCCTGTAAGCAGTTCTCTTCCTCTGGGTAGCCCACTTCATTCCATGCTTTAACTATTCATATGAAGCATAAGGCTGTGGTTTTGAAACCTTCTGAAAATAAAGCAAAATCTGCATTCTTACTGTGGCTTACAGTGCTCACTCTCCAGGACTGAGTGCCCACCTTTTAGTCTGATTGTGCTCCCCTCCCCCATCGCCATTCTAAGACGCCCCAGCCCCACTACCGTTTATCTTAGGAATGCCTGGAGCACAAGTCATTCAGAGTTTCCTTACCTGCCTTTCCTTCCAGTGCTGGCAGGCCCTTTGGTCTCTCCTGCCTTGGTTTAGAGCCCTGCTGTTAAGGAAGCACAGCCAAGTTCACAGTAGCCTTCTTTGAACCAAATAAAAACAGCACCAGAAACAAGTCTTTTTCCTGGGACCTGCTGGGTTTCCATTTGTTGACTGTCTCCCTCTGGAGTATAGCTCTAGTGGACAGGGCTCACTGCTCTGAGTCGGCCTGGCAAGTCACATACTAAGTTGTCTTAGTGTCTGCTTGTATGAACGTGGAGATGTGACCTGCGTGGGCCTCTGTCGTGTGTAGACAGCACTGTGTATGGGGTGGAGGTGAGACAGGCACAACTGAGTGTGGACCTGAGCTGTCAAGACATTTATGAACCTTCTCTCCTGGGTGGATGGGCATGCCACCGAAACAGACTCCCAAAGGCCTGGGTCTTTCACTGGGATTCAGTTACTCAAAATGTACGCCCCTTCCTCTCCCTCCAGCTCCGAGCCATCGCCTTAGCCTCACTCTCCCTGCCTGTCTGCTAAAGCTCTGTGGGGTGGAATTGTAATTGTAAGTGGCAGTGTCAGTAGCAGTTTTCTCTCAACTTGGGTACTTGAAATGTGCCTTGTCTGCTACTTCCTGGATGTGCATCCGCGGATGTGGGGTCTCAGTGCCAGCCAGGCTCCTGCGTGGTCCCCCTCCTCCTTCCATTACTTCACTCGCTTGACAATCTTGTATACCTGGTGGTTGAAATTTTGACTTAAAAAAAAATTCTTCCTTGTGGCTTCTCCAAAAAAAAAAAAAAAAATCAGGATCGTCTTGTTTGTAGCCTTGGGCTTTGACTTTCTCTGTTCTGCTGGTGGAAGTCATGGCAAGAGTCGTCCCTGATCTTGCAGGCCTGCTCCAGTCTTAGCTGTTCTGGATTAGTCTGCCCTACCTCCTGTGGCAATAGCTTTATCTCTGTGTTGTCTTACAGGGGCCTGCAGGGGAGTGGGTGGGATAGTAATATCCTGAGCTTGACTGTGGAGATGATGCACTTGTCCCAGATGATGTCTGAGGGCAGAAGAGGCCCTGAATCTCTCACATTTCCATCAGCAGGCAGGGAAGAGGGGAGAGAAATGTAGTTTGTCATGAGACATTGAATATTACCAAAAATCTTCATCAGTGTCCTTGGCATTTGCAGTCAGGAGTGTCTGTTACCTCCCCTCCCCCGCCAATTACTGTATGTGCTGGTAGGAAGATGTCTGGGCACTTGAAGCAGGAACCCCAAAGGATCAAGAGGGAAACCCCACATCAGTCACTGCTTCTGATTCCAGAGAACGGGCCAGACGCTTTTGGTTCCTGGTTTTGTGGCTCAGGATGTTGGCTCACAATCTTTTCTTTTGCGATGGAAGGTCTTTTTTGTGTGAGTGTACTCATAAAGAGTTGGGCTTCTCATTTTCATGGCGCGCGGTTCTGGTTGTAATCAGTTTCTGTCTGAGTTCCAGAAATGCAAAGATACTGCACGGAAAGAGGTGGCAGCTGACAAAATTGCTGTCTTTGACCTTCTGAGGCACATTTAGTAACGAATCTGGAAAATAATGAACTACAATTAATGAAACCCGCACCCGTGTTCAAGTGTGTTTCTCAGACAGCACATACAGTAATTGAAAGGACTTCCTGCTCTCTAATTAGTCAGATTGAATTAATTTGCCATGATAGCTTTCTTCATGTTCTGGAAATCTATGTTCCCATGAAGCTGTTGGTGTGCTTCAGAGCTTGAGACACCAAGTGGCAGCATTGATTAGTCTAGGGAATGAAAGGGTTAACGCGAGTGACTTCCCACCAGCCATGTGCAGCTCCCTTCCTGCTTACTTCCCTGTGCCTGCAGCTTTGGGTGGAGTGGCTGCCGGAGGTTTTGCTTTAAGTAGGGTAGCCTCTGGCGCAGGGGGCCACTGTCAGATAGTGCCACCCTGTTGAGGAAACTTGAGACCCAGGTAGGCTCAGCCAGGTAGGCAGCTGTGGGAACATGGATGTGGCAGACACCAGGCACTGAAGGTATCACCACCTTCCCTGAGCGTGCTCCTGCCCTCACTGTACCCCATCCTGCAGGCTCTCTCCCCTTATGAACATGGTCCTTAGACACAGCTCTTCATTGATGAAGTTTCGCTGCAGCTTGGTCTTCAGTAGCGTGTGTGTCTGTAACCAGGCACTGCTTTTATCATAATCTTTAAAAGCTAGATGTTTCTAAAGCCCAACGTCTGGCTTTGTTTGCTTAAGCTTTCCTCATACCATCAGGAAGGTGAGCTTTTGGCTTCTGATTATTTGCAGGAAAAAATACAATTTACAGCTCTTATAAAACTAATCCCTACTTGTACTTAAATCATTGATTAATATTTATTAAAATACAAGCTGAGTGTTATAGTTAGGCACCATTTTGATTAAATTGAGAGTAGTAGGTAGACCTTAGAAAAGGCTTATAGATAAGAAAAATGCATCTGAAAATTCAATATTCAATAAGTTTAAAATAATTAATTTTTCCTTTGGCCAACCTCTTGTTCTTTTTACCTGGCCTTATGCTAAAATTTATGAGGATCTTTCCCCACGATCTCTGTTTCATTCTCTGTGCTGTTTGTGAAGTAACTGAAGTACATGTTTATTCGTTGAGAAAACACAAAGACAGCAAACTTGTTGATGCCCTTCTAAGAGTAGAGGGCAAGATGTTCCTTCTGAGCTCCGTAGACAGAGGCACAGGCAGTGCCCAACGTGTGTGTGTGGCATGGGGAAGGGAGTGGTGTTCATCAAGCCAGGATTGACACTTTGAGGGCGAGCTGTGATCTTAGAGATGACTGTTACCACTTCCCGGAAACACTGCCAGGCTGTGGTGGCTGAACAGGGCTCTGTTGGGTCTCAGCAGTGTGCAGCAGGCCATGCACAGGCTCCTTTGGGTCACCAACTCAATCCAGCTACGGTGCTTTCGGCAGTAGGCTATGCCTGAGCTCTGGTTCTGGAGTGGGAAACAGATCATTGTATTCAGCCTTCTCGTGGGACTTCTTAATATTTATGGTTGTGAAATACTTTGCAGTCGTTTTTATTAATAGTTACCAGATGTGTCATAAGGATTAATGAACTTACGATCTGAAATGTTTTGAGCTCCTGAAATAGAGGCAATGTCTGTGCAGGGAATATGGGAAAGAGCATTAGGATGCAAACAGTTGAACTTGAAGGGTGAAGCTATGGTGTGGGAAGGAGCAGTGGCTCACATAAGGTCCAGTGTAGTTTGTAGATGGATCTGGTACCCTTACAGTGACCGCTGCATTCATCACAGGCCATTGTCTCACATGGGAGGCTCAGCCCTGCCCACTGTGCCCTCGTGTCTGGATGCACACAGTTGTTCTCAGCCTGGGTACTGGGTCTGACTTTTCCAGCCTCCAGACATCTCCCTCCTGAGTCTGAGTGCTCATTTCTGTGTCTCTGCCTTCTTGCCTCAGTTCAGGTCCTTAGCTCTCCATAGAGCCACTGAAGCAACGTCTTAATTGATCCCCTCACACTGAACGTCTTCCCTTTCTAACCAGTCTCTCCAAGCACTCTTCTCACTGGCCCCATTTGGAGAGCAGCTGCCTTTTGTGCACTCACAGACTTCCCTACAGCGCTGACCCTCTTCCTCTGCCGGAGCTTTTCAAGACCCAGAAGGAATGACTTCTGGGGAGATGAATAGGAGGTGCCTTACACACAGTCCCATCCCTGCTGTCTGCCATGCTGCTCAGGCTGGCCCTGCATGGGCCCATGGTCCCTTCTCCTCTGCATTCCCTCAGCCTTAGATCCTTCCATCCTGGTATCCCTTCCACACGCTTCATTTTAGTCACTTGCTTACAACCCCCCCTCCCCCCCAATCACCACCAGATTGCCACTCCCTAATGAGAAAATGCTGCGACATCCAGACCTTGAGAGTCTGCGGGAATGGTAACACATCAGAACCAGGGCTGGTCTGCTAATTCCTGTAGCTGTTTTGTTAGGGAGCCACTGGAGCTTACAGTTGCTGAGTCATGAGGAGTTTGAACCCTTCCACGCTCACTGTGACATCAGCAAATGTCTGTGCTAGTGGCCACCGTCCCATCCTGCTAGGCTTCTATGTTTTCATGCTCTAGTGGTGGCAGTTTCCACCTCAGTGGGACAGTTCCCCAAATCTCATCTATTTCCAGTCAGACCCAACTGAATCTTGCAGTCTGAGCATGAGAAATAAACCTCGTACTGTCTTGAGTAAGAAACACACCCTGAAAACCTTCCTGTTTGGGTGGACTTTGATCTGTGGGGTAAGAATAGAGGCAGCATCAGGTCCCCCGGACTCAGAGGTGGAGTGCGGGTGCACACAGAAGATGACTCCACTCTCAGAGTGCCAGCTGCCCCGAGTGTGGTTGGGGGCTGGGGGCTGTGGAGGTGGTGCTAAGACCAAGAACTTTTCTTATGGTCGAGGCATGGAGGAGGAGGCAGGGAGTCTTGGAGTTCAGGCTCTTTGAACTGCACGACAGTGACCCTGCTGCTACAGGACACCCTCTCGTGTCCACTCTCTCAGCCACACATGCTCCTAACTTGTTCCTCTGCCTACCCTTGTCCTTCCATCCTGCTCCTCTCCGCCTTCTCCTCGGCACCTTCTTGGGGCCATCCCATCACTTTCAGTGGGTAAAAGTAGCCCTGTGACCCATGTGGCTATGGGTGTCACCTTTGCCAAAATGTGTGTGTGTGTACATGTGTGTGAGTCATTTGCAAATGAGGGAAGGTGGACAGTCATGCTTAGGCCTGAAGGCCCTGTCTCACAGTCAGAACTACACAGAATTCTCAGGGCCTGTGATCCTGGGAACCAGAAGGAACTGAATGGAGGCTTGGTTAGTTTACATTTCTGCTGTCTGAGCAGCGAGCAGTTGCCATACCCCTGGCTTTTCCTCCCTGGGGTCCTCTGGTAAATACTTCAACCTTTCTAGGTTAGAATGGTGACATGAGTCTTAGTAGAGCTGTGGCCACTGAACAGGGAGAGGGCAGCCCATGCTGTGCCCCCTGCCTAGTTGTTGTTCCTGAGCAGAGCTGGGGAAGGGGACATGGAAACCAGAATTGGCAAGCGCTGGAGGCAGAAATGGTGGGCTCCTGGTTTCTTCCAGAGACCTTCACGCTGCTGTCTACCTCTGTGTCCCATACTGCTGAACTCACTGCAAGATGAACCTGGCTCCTGCTTCCTCCTTCTGACTTAAGCTTTTACCCAGATTCTCAGCTTTCCTCTAATGCTCCTTGAATCACGTGTTTGTAAGTCAAGAAGTCTTCTGCTGTGATGTTTCACCCCTTCTTTTGGGCTCTTCTCCCTGAATTTTCTTACTGCTATGTCTGCTTGACTGCAGCTGTCTTTCCTCTCAGTCTGTACTGCACAGTCAGCGAGGCTCTCTGACTCTTGGCTGTCTTCTGCTTGCTCTGCTAGGAGTCAGGTGACTTCTCTTTCTTTCCCTAGCTTGGTTAGTCTGGGATGCCCAAGGCTGCCCATATGTCCTTGTCTGCTTGGTGCTCCAGCGAGAGAAGCTTCCTTCCTTCTCAGTCCTGTGACATGTTACGTGCTCCGAGTGCGCTCAGGTTGTCTCCTAGCTCCTGCCTCCTGCCCCAGTTACTCCATGTAGAGACTTGCACTTAAACAGTCTATCCTTGGTCAGCATGTGTCTGTGAGCACAGAGCAGCGTGTCACTTGTATGTATGTCTTGTCTCTGGCTGGGGCGAGCCTTCACTGGGTTCCTTTCTCTTGTGGTGTGGACCCTGGAACCCACAAGCCTAATTGGTAGGAGTGTGCTGGAGTTCCTGAGTGTTGTGATGTCTCCTAGTGACTCCTGGCAGCTTTCTGCTCTGTGCCCCTGTGCCCTTTGTGGGTCTCTCACTCATGCACTTGTCTCCTCAGCCTGTGCCCCGAATCTTGGTGCAGCCTACCTTCTCAGATGCCCAGGCAACGAGGACAGAGGAGGTGAGTCACCAGGTTGGGGGCTGTTCCACTTGCAGAGGTGGCCCTGACACTAGCTAGGATCCTTTTGTCCACACCTGCTTTCCCCCCTTTGCTTCTCACTTTGATAATTAACTACAATGTAGGTCACTGTCTTCTCCCTGCACAGGCTCCTTGTTACACTTGGCTATTTTCAACCTGCTAATCATATGATTGCTAAAGTCTTTGGTGCTTGACTGCTAATGTAGTCTGTGCTTTAATAGCTCACTGCTAGGCAGAGGGGATTTCTATAAACAGAACCATCTCCTTGTGAGCATTTGCTTAATTCTCAGTTTTACATTTCATTCTGGTTCATGATATCTGTGTGAAGACTGATGCTAAGCTGGGAGGAAACCATCTCTTATGGTAGCACTCACCGTCCTGTGAACAGTAGGCCTCCCTTGTCCACCTCCCCCACGCCTCCAGTCTCGGGAGATGCCGTGTCTTCACAGGGGACGTTTACTCATTCAGTCAACAGCAAACAGGGCCCAGTGGTTTGAAGGAAAAGTCCCCCTTCAGGCAGCATCCCATTTTGAAAGTGCCCTGTCACTCCAGTGCCTTCCTGGTGTCCTAGCCCTCCCAAGGAGTCCCTTCCCCTGGGAGCACAGTCGCTTGTTGTGTGGACAGTTTTGAACAGGAGCAGGACTCTCACTGGCAAGGCCACCTTCATCCTCATGGCCTCACGACCTCTGGACATTCCAGAGGCAGCAGTTAGGTTGCAAATGACAGATCACCTTCAGCCATGAGGAACTGCTCGCGAGGTGCTGGCATGGTAGGCAGCAAGTATATCGTCTCCCCTTCTACCGTCTTTGGTCTGTGCCATCACTGTTTTGTCCCTTCAGTGGGGAACGTGGGCAAGCACTTCAACTTCCCTTGGCCTTGCTGTAAATGACTGTGTCTATAGTTCCTGCAGCCTGCTTCCCACCAGTGAATCAAGTGGGACACCTGCTACCTGAGGCTGTCTTTGCCTGTCCTTCATGCTTCTCTATGGCCAGAGCAGCCTGGATGGAACTGGGGGTGAGCGTGGAAAGGGCCCTCTCTCAAAGCCACAGGGCATGTCCAGCTTCTTTTGTAGCTCTGTGTATTCCACTCCCCACATCCAGCAGTAGCTAACTAGAGTAGGAAAGAATAAATAAAGCATGTCTAAGTTGCGGAAGAAAAATGATTGAAGGATTGCTTAATCTCTCAGCATATTTATGGCGATGACAGTTATTGATCTGCTCGATTGAGTAAGTTTTCAGTGAGAGCCCCATCACAAAAATGGGCTGTTAATCTCGAGAGGTGCCGTCAATTCCCTCTCCAGAAAGGGCGCCTTGTGGGCAGCGAAGGCTTCTGGAAGCAGGAATATAAATGACAATTCACGGGAAAATGCGTGATTTATCAGACTGCTGTGTTAAGCCAAGAAACTGGAAGAGACGTATAGATCTTAGCTGCTTCCCAGTTCAAATAAATCCTGTATTTCAAGTGGAAAGTGACCATAGCTGTACATAAATATTGAGATGCAGCTTCCCTTTCCCTGCGCAGCCTCCCACCTTGTTCCCTTCCCACCATTGTCCCTGGCATGTGGGTACAGAAGTGGGAGTTGGTGCTCTGCTCCCTCAGGCAGCCTTAGTTATCTAAAAGAGCGTCCTACACTCACTTCCCAAGCACTGGGCCTGACGGGTGCCCTGCCATTACTGCAGCATGCTAGCTTTGTCTGTCTCTTCCATCTGGTAACTCGGACAGAGATGTGAAAGGCCATTGCCACTGGCTCTGTCCTTGCTTGTGAGAAACCCTGACCCATGTCCCAGGATTAGAGGCCCCCAGCCCTGACACCGACAGCCAGGAAAGCCAGCTCCTAGAGAAAGAGTCATGGCCACAGGAGTCCTGGGTCCCCTCCTTGTCCTTGACTCCCAGCCTGAGCACCCCACCCAGCACTGTCTGAGGTCAGTGCCTCCTGGTGCCTGCATTGCTTGTTAAAGCACTTTCAGATCCTCTGGTGAGGTCATCCTTTGGATTTGACCAGAGAAAAGTGAGAAAAGTGCTCCTTTGCCCTCTTTAGTGTGTGTTTCTGTCTCACTATGAGAACAGTGGTGGGTGAAGGCGTCTGCTTCCATGGGAACAGTTACCTGAGACCAGGAAAGCTGGGACAGGCATAGTGAGGTTAAGTGTGTACTGCTTCGTGCTCCCTGGAACAAGGAGCCTTGCTGTGTGTCATCCTACCCTGCCCCTGAGTGCAGGGATGACCATCTCTGTGGAAGATGAGCTGCAAATGCAGCAGGGCTTGTACCATGTTGCTCGGCCACTCCTGAACACAGGTATATAGCCCAGGCCTCACCTGGCATTTGGCTCCAGGGCCAAGGCAAGCTCTGGCTATGTTTCCTTCAGGTGTGTGCTGTCCCTTAGCCCGGCACAGCTCCTACCCAGGCTTCAACGTAGAGCTGGTAGAGCTAGCCTGTGCTTTGATTGGGTGGGAAGGCCTTTTTCAACTCTCCTCAGTATATCTTTTGCCCTTCTGCAGGCTCAAGGAGGCAGCCCAGTGCCTGGTGGGGCTTTGGAGTCCGTGGTGCAGATGGCGGCCCCTGCAGTAAAGATCTGCGACAAACCTGTCAAAGCGTCTTCCTCGCCATCTACCATGGTGGTTACTCAGCCCCCAGAAGGGCAAGATGGCCCCCCCAGCCCCTTGAGTGAAGCTTCCAGTGGCTACTTTTCCCACAGCGTCTCCACTGCCACCCTGTCAGAAACATTCACCCTAGGCCTGGACACCACAGGCCCTGGCAACCAGACACCTGGGTCTCCCCCTGCCCTGAGTCAGGTCACCTCAGAGCCTGAGCTGGCTTTCCTCTCCTGTTCTAAGAGCCATCCACCTGCCCCGGAAGAGTCCCAGGTACTGCCTGCCACACCCTCTCAAAGCATAGAGCTGGAGGTTCCCAGACCACCCCTTCTTTCTGAACCTACGTCTACTGTGCCCACATCCCCATTCAGAATCCGGAAAGTGCGGACCTCAGAGCTTAAGTCCTTCACAGGCATGCTGGGGGGTGCCTCCTCTGGAGCTGAGGAGGACCCACTGGCTTCAGAAGAGCTCAGCCATGCTGGGGGACAAGCCCTGGGGAGGCTAGAAGTGACATCTGACTCTGAGGAGGCCAGCGAAGTCCCTGAGTGGCTCAAGGAGGGAGAGTATGTTGTTGTGGGCACCAGCAAGACCGGCATCGTGAGGTACATTGGACCCACTGACTTCCAGGAGGGGACATGGATTGGTGTGGAGCTGGATCTGCCTTCAGGTGAGTGGCCTGTGGGTGCTCCTGCTGAACGTGCCCCTGGGATGTGCCCAGTGACATCAGTCACACTCTTTAAGCCCCCGGCCTTTCATAAACCAATGCTAGCATGTCTAAGGTCTCCAAAACATCAGAGACCCAAGGGTCACCAAAAACCACTATGAACTTGGTGTAATGCTTTTAATTCTGGCTGTGTGGCCGAGACTGGTTCAGAAAGACTTGGGCCCTACATTCCTCTTGCTGCAGCCTCACCATTACCTGGGGCTATAGCTGGTTGCCACCACGCCCAGCATTCTCTGTGAAGTGGCAGTAGCACCACCCCAGGCTGCATTCAGTGCTCTTGAGACTCCAGGGCACTTCGCCTGAGCTGGTTGCTCGAGGGGAGGTGGGGTGTTACGGACTCTTGACTCTCAGGGCCAACTGCAGAGCTCAGAAGTGGTCAGAAAGCAGGGGAGGCCCTAAAGAATCACTTGCCAGACTTCTATCCAGACATTTCCCAGTGCTGCGTTCTCTCTCAGGAGTAGACTCTAGGGGCCCAGCACCCTGGCCTCTCAGGCCCTTCCATCCCTGTTGCAGATGCAGGCCAGGCTTTATTGGGTACCCATTTCCCACCTGCACCAGTGAAACCTGCAGTTCAGTGCTTTTGAGCATACTTGCTGAGCTGGCTGCAATCACTGGGCTCTGTATTGTCACATACTTGTCACCTCCCAGGGAAATCTCATGTCCCAGCCCTGGGTTACAGCTAATCTGCTTTTTGTCTGCAAGTTTATGGGAGGCCATGATCTGGGCTTGGCTTCTTTTCTAATGTGTGGCCAGGGTCCCCTTCTGTGGTGGGGCCATTGCAGCTCCTTCCTGTTTATGGCTGAGCTCTGCTGCATGGATGTCTGTGCTCTTAGGCTGCTCTCAGAGCAGGCTGAGGACAGCCCCATGGACACAGGGGCCCATCTCTCTTGCTCAGCGTTGAGCGTGTGCAGAGAGCAGATGGTTTCCAGAGTGGTGGCCCCCTCGCAGTGCTGGGGGGGCCAGGTGTGAGCACAGAGAGTTCTTTGGTCTGGGCAGGGAGAGATGAGAGTGCAGTGTTTGGACTTCAGGGACACTGTGGCTGAGATGTGCAGTCCACCTGTTCCTGCAGCAACAACTGCCCAGGCTGCCACCCGAGAGAGCTGGCTCCCTGCCACTGTCTGGACACTCAGAGCTAGCAGTTTGTTGCCAGGGTGGACTCCAGCCTTTAGGAGGGCACTCTCAGAGCCCAGCACTAGGCCCTACTGTCTCTCCACCAGCCTGTGACCTCGTAGGCCCATTCATTCCTGACTGCAGGCACAGGCCAAAATGATACCCTCGTCCCTGAGCCAAATGCTTCCTTTGAAGTCACTGTCTTTAAAAATAATCGGACACAGAATAGCTTGATTGGAAGTGGTTCAGATGATAGTGCAGCATGGCTGGGAAGAATTTCAGATCTGCTCTTTGCAAAGTGCAAGGGGGATTCATGAAGAACCTGTGTCTTGTGTCTGCAGCTGAACTCCAGGATGAAAGAGAATTAGTAAATAATTCACCAACAGGAGCTACCTAAGCACATGCTTTTGTTCACATTGCTGTGCTAGGTTCAAATTCACCATCATGATGGTGAGCGGCATCCCCCACCTGACTTTTAACTGTGCAGAGGGGAAAACGCTACAGGAATAAGATTCTGATGGGAACAAGTGCTGTGAGGGAAAGAAGTGTGCTGAGGAAGGAGGAGGGCGGCTGTCAGGAATGCCACGAGCTATTCAGAGAAACAAAGGACACAGGAAGCAGAGCTGGGAAGGCTGCTGCCATCAGGGTCGGGCAGGGCAGCATGGCAGCGCTCCTGAGTGTGGCCCAGCTCCCTGTGTGTGAGGACCAACAGGCCTGAGGGGTGCCTGGTGTCTGCATCTAAGGGTTTTGTAGGAGTTAGTGTACTTTGGTCAGGGCTTGAAAAGATCACTTTTTGCAGAATACACATGGGGAGTAATGGGAACAGGAAGTTTACTGTGAGGAGTGGCAGTTGTATGGGCTGGAGAGGATTGTGGGTAAGGTTGTGGGAAGTGTGGTGAACAGTGGTCAGGGTTGGGGAAGATGTGTAGAAGCTGCAGCCGGGGACAGATGGTCAAAGGGGGATCATTTGGGAGGAGTGTCAAGGTGACAGATAGTGTGTGACATCAGAACAGGTCACGAAGGGCAAGGCCAGAGAGCTGCATGTCAGGAAATCAGGGAAGGACCCTGTCTCACGTGATCCATGCTAGGTACTCTGGGGGGCCCAACTGGGGAGTCACACCTGGAATGAGCTGTGGTCTGCATGCAGCCAGCTGGGCCCTTAGCTGAGACCAGATGAGGCAGAGCTGGGGTGAGAGGTAGCCAGTTAAGAGATTGTGGCAGTGACCAAAAGGGTTATGTATGAGGACGTTTGAAGAGAGAGGCAGAGCGACCACTGCAGGCCCTGGCTACTTCCCAGAGATGAGCAGGCAAGGCAGGCACTAAAAGAAAGATAACCTGGTTACCATGGCTCCCAGGTGGGCTCTTTCCTGTCTACTCCGTCTCCCTCTCACATCCCCTACTCACCTGTCAGAGGAAGTTGTCGCTCCTACAGTTCTTGACACCCCAGTGTGGCATCTGCTGACACACTCTGCCGTGATTTTGCCAGCTTCTTGGACGAACCTGGGTCATCTGCCCTTCTAAGCTTACACTTGCGTTCTCAGGAAAGGGACTGGTGCTCCTGGAGGAGCAAGAGCCAGCTCTGCCTTGGTGGCCTCCCCAGTCCTCAGCAGGTCTCTGTCCAAGGCTCTGTCTCATGCTTGAGAGCACAGGGCTAAGGGGCTGTGGGTCCCTGGTGCCACTGTTTGCTGTCTTGAGAGGCTTCTGCTCTGCTCTAGGCTCACTGAACCTCCTGTTTTCTGGGTTGGGTGGTGGCATGGGGGTGGGCATGTTGGACACAGTGAGGAAGGTGACCGTGTATAACATGGTGCCTCCATGACGCTTCCTCCTTTTCCCACAGGAAAGAATGATGGCTCCATTGGCGGGAAGCAGTATTTCAAGTGCAACCCTGGCTATGGGCTGCTGGTGAGACCGGGCCGAGTCCGCAGGGCTGCAGGCCCTGGGCGCAGGCGCAGTGCAGGGCTCCAGCCTCAGGGAGCCCCAGAGGCCCGCAGGAGTGCTACCATCTCGGGCTCTGCCACCAACCTGGCCTCACTGACAGCTGCATTGGCCAAGGGCGACAGGAGCCACAAGAACCCTGAGAACCGGAAGTCCTGGGCCAGCTGAATTGCACCCCACTCCTGGTGGACACTGATGGGAAGGGGGAGACCTTCTGGTACCTCCCTGGAGGACACCCCTTCCATGGGAGCAGGGCCATGAATGCTTTTTGCACGATGCGGGGATGGTGGGCAACCTGGTTCTCCGTCCTCCCTGGGAATCTGGAAGCTGCATTTCTTCCTCTACTTGATGAAGGCAGAGGCTCCTCAGCTGCACTCCTCCAGCTGGGGTGGAAGGTTTTGGGATCCCAGAGACTTTGAGGGATGATAGTTGGCTGGCAGGGCTGTTCCTCCCTGCCTGCTTGAAACGGGGGGGGGGGGGGTCCCAGCCAGGTTTGTTGGGCTCCCCCTTTCCTTATTCTGCTGACTTTACTAATGTTTTAATTTAAACAATGACCCTAACTAGTGTCTTGCCCTCCACAGACAGGAGTTCCCTCTTGTGCCCGGGGAGCAGCCCATATCACTCTCTGTGCACCAGTCTCCCTAACCCGTGTCCATCCTTCTGTGTGGTGTCCAGTCTTTACACCAGAAAGTCTCTCCTTTTGACTATTCATTCCCTAACAGGATGCTTGAACTATATTTATTTAATTTATTCTTTTCAAAAGCTGAAATAATCAGTGACCCACAGCCGCTGCCTGTCCCAGCTTATCTGCCTAGGGCCTGCCTTGCACTCACTGCCTCTGGCTGCTTGGAGCTGCAGCCTTTTGGAGGGTACTGCTGGAGGGGGCCAGCAGATGAAGCCACCCTTATGTTGCTAGAATGCAGATACACCATGCCTTATTTTCACTGGGGTGAAGGCAGGCCCAGGGGCTTGACACAGCTCAAGCCCTTAGTACCTTGTTTCAGGAAACAGCTGGATAGTGTTTGCCTCCATGGCAGTTCCTAAACCCTGACTACACCTGTGGGCCACCAGCTGGGCAGGCAGCGGTGAGGGGAGAACTGCCCTCCATTTTCCTTCCTTGGATATATGCTGCAGTCATGGTAGATCCCAGGACATGACCACCTCCTCCCTGGAATGTGTGTGGGGGTTGAGCGGGCAGGTCGAAGCCACCCAGTCCTGTTGTCCCAGGTTCTGCCCTGTTCTTCAGCTCAGAATGGAAGTTATTCTTGGCAGCTTGTTGTAAGTTTTGACCCTCGGAGTCTTTGATTTTTTGAGACAGGGTTTTTTTTTTTGCCTAACAGTCCTGGCTATTCTGGAACTTTGTAGAACAGGCTGGCCTCAAACTCTCTGACCCTTATGAACCACCCCCAGAAGGCTTTTGTTGGGGAGTGGGTTTAGTGACCCTTCAGATCACCCCAGCCCCGCCCCCCGGCCCTGTGGCCCCCATGCTAGTGTTCCTGGCACTGAGTCCGGACAGTCTGTGTCGTCTGATGCGTGCCCTGCCCGAGTAGAGGCTGATTCAGGGCAAAGGATGGCGGTCTCCCTGCCTTGAGCCTGCACAGAAGCCCCAGCAGGGGTGGGGTGTTGAGAGTTACTCTGCTCTAGTCACCAGGGGGCCTGGCTGGCAGAGGGTCCGGCTGGAGAGACCTGCCTCTATCTCCTGGAACAGCACAGATGAGGCAGGCACCAGGCCTCTTAACTCCTTCAGCTGGCATTTTGAGGATCCCCTCTAGATGTGTGTTGCTGAGTTAGCACTGCCAGTTCTGCCTGGCTTGTTCTTGGGGCCAGCACAGAAGTTCTCGGTTGTGTTTCAGTTAGAGGTTTTGTCCAGTCAGCGTCCACGGTGTCCCCCAGAGAGCAGTGCAGAGTCCCAGAGTACCTCCTCCCTCTGGGGCGGCCATGCAGTGTGTGCTAGGGAGAGTAGTTCCTGTAGGCATAGGGCCAGTATTGTTATGCTGGGGGAAGGGACATTATGCCATCTGTCACTTCTCAAACAGGATGTAAAGGGACTGCTGACTTCATCTTGTTAGCTGGGGCTCTCCAGAGCACTGCAAGTCCTGAGTGATCCAGCTTGACCAGCTGTTGTCTGGTGGTTCTGGGACCTTCTCTCCTTCCAGCCCACTCTCCTCCCAGCTCCTTGGACCTGAGGCTCCCCAGCCCTCCCCACTCCCAAGCTGCTGAAAAGCACCATTCCCACGGGGCCCTGCAGGACAGCCTTCAGGTGAAGCGCTCCAGCTTCCTAGGCAGCTGGCCCAAACACGGCTAGGACAGCTCCGCCCTCAAGTGGTTTGCGCTGGGGCCCAACTGTGGGGCTGTGTTTTGTAAGGGCAGTCTGCCTTCACAGAAGGCTCCTCGCTCTCATGTACCTTGGTGCTTCACGCCTTTAATGGGAGTGAAGTTTGGAGCCTCATGCTGGCAAGTTTATCTTCATGGGTGTTTCTTATGAGCCGTCCCTGTAGCTGAGAGGACCCTGTGTGTGTGCCTGCTGTGAGGGTAGGGAGGTGACCACAGGAAAGCTGGCGCTTCAGGGTGGGTCTGAAGAGATGGAGCCTAGGCTTGCTGCACCCTCACGTCCCCTGCTGTCTGGGCTGCTATACTAGATGAGGCCACACGGGCCAGCTGCAGCCTCGAGCTGTTACTCAATGCTTTTCTGGAGCAGGCTGACACTAACTTGCAGCTGGAAAGTGGTGATGTACAGGGGTCATGGTCGCTAAAATACCAGGTAGTTTAGGCAGGTAGTGGGTGTGTAGTTGGGGCCCAGGACTAAGGGGCAGAGGGCCATTGTTTCTGGGTTGTGTTTAGGGACATGGCCCCTGAGGAGCTGCAAAGGTTTAGATGGTGTCTCCACATCTGTGGTCGTCCCCACCACTTCTCATACCTTAGAGGCTCCATGTGGGAAGCAGGCGAGTGGCTCACACAGCATCAACCCGCCTGCCCAAGCTGCCTGTGTATGCGGTGTGATGTGCATGGAGGGTGATTTGAAGCTTCTTGTGCCTCAGGACCCAGGCCACCTCAGGTCAAGACTATAGGGCCATCTCTAGTGCCTTCCTTGGGGCCAGCTTCCAGCCCCAGACACTACCCAAAGCATCTTTCTCTTAAAATCTGTGGTGCCTTCCTGGTGGGCTGTGGATATCCACGGTGTGGGGAAAGTCGGGAACAGCACGGGTGTGTGGATCATATAAATACGAGCTCACATGAAGGGATGTTGATTCCAGGATTACAGTGATTTGGTGCATATTAAATGGGAATTAAAAATCCAAAGACCCTGTAATGAATAGTAAAGATGATGATTTATGTTGTACGATGAACCAAACTACTGTAATTTTGTACCATAAATGCCTTTCTATCAAGTGACCAACAGCTTCTAAATAAAGCCAGATGGTTTCTTGCTTATGTCGGAGGTCAGTCCTAGCTGTTCTTCTCTACCCTCACCTCGGGCTTTGCTCACTGTTTTGTCCCTTGGTGCTGGTCCCAGGGCTTTTCAAGATGGACAAGAGGAGTTCAGAGAGCAGCAGGCCCCAGGGCACAGACTTATGTGCTCCATAGATTTGGAAGTAACCGGGCTTCAGGGCTAAGCTAAGCACAGGTGGCAGTGTGGATGTGTGGGTCCTCAGCTGTCAGGCAGGGCTGTCACCATCTGCTTCAGCCTGTGGGATAGGCCCCACTCTGGACTCAACTAGAGAGCGAAGAGCCTTTCTACTGCTGCAGACATGGATATACCCTGGAACAGGTGTTTTAGGAAGAGGCATCAATTAGGGCTGTGGCTGGCCAGCAGGGGTGGATCAAGTCCCTTTGGGCTGTGGAACCTGACTTTAGGCCTGCTTACCAGGACGCCTCTGCTTCCCCTGGAGCGCCATTTTCAGCAGACAGGACTTGCTGTGTTTTTCTCCCTGGCAGTGCATCATTCTGCCCAACTCTCGTAAGTAGAATGTCCTGGGAATGCAGGGTCAAGGCCACCTGGAGGCCCGAGGGAAAGTGGCCACAACTACAGGCAGCTCTGTCTGCACAGGGCTTGTTTGTATTCCCAAGTGCGGCAGAGTTATTCTCAGACATAAGCTCTGCCAAGAGGGACAGGAGTGTGGCAGCCAGGGGCAGTCCTGTGAAAGATGAGGCAGGATATGGGTGAGGGGTGGGATGGATACATCATCTTTCCCAGGCTGCTGTTACCTGGCAGGAGCAGGAGGAGTCTAGGCTGTACCAAGCCCTGGCATGGGCTCTAGTGGCTGTCACCCTTGATCCACTCTTTGCTTACTGAGTTACTCAAGAAACGTGTGTATCAATCCTGGGCCTGGAGTGTGGCCAGCGCCAGGGCCTGGAAGGGCTGAGGAATCCACTCTTGGATGCAGAGAGGAGGGGGTACGCCAGGGAGATGCTTAGCCATGTAGTGCATGTGCCCAGGCTGAGGAGACTCAGGCTTAAGTCGAAATAGGAGCTAGGGCCAAACTATGCAGACCCATGAGGTAGGCTGAGCCATATGCCATCCCATAAAGGGAGACTGGTTGTTCTCAGTCTTCTAAGGAGGGAGGGTCAATGGATCTGCCTGTGGGACAGGGAGGGCTGGGACGTGGTCCTTGCTCTGCTCACCACTGAAAACCAGAGCAACAGAACAAAGCTACTGCTTTGTTCCTGCGCCTCCAGATGTAGCTTCGGAGCTGGCTCCTTTAAGAGGCCCAGAACGGGGCTGGCTACAACAGGAGGAAATGGAGAGATTGAAAAGCAATGACACCTTAAGCCTGCCTGTGATCCTGGGGGTGAAGCCTTACTGTGTGGCCCTCTCCACACAGTAATAGGCCTGTGGTTGGGGGCTTGGGGACTCTTAAAAGATCCCTCAGGGTGACCATGGGGCCCAGGGTCAGGTGACAGCAGAGGTTCTTCTGCTTGGGCTCTGACACTAGGACCTCCCAGCTCCCCGTCCCTTTGCAAAGTCTAAAAGGCAGAGCTGCGGGCAGGGCTCTTGCCTGGAATGTGAGAGACTTCAGGTTTGATTCCCAAACTAGAAAACAAAAACAAACCCCTAAAAATGCATAAGGGAGGTTGCATAGAACAGACACCTGTACCCACTTCAGCCCCTGCCCCTTAAATATTCGGATCCAAAGAAATCCCGGACAGCCTTTGTTCAGTTATACATTTTATTCTCTAATAGGTACAATACTAAAATAAACACAAATTAAAAAAAAGTTTTATTAAAACAAAACTGTACAAAAAAGCAGTATACTACATTTTAATTACAGAACAGTCTACTGTCCAAAAGGCACTAATCCAGAATAGGAGTACAATGAAACAGGACTCGTCGGAACTATTTAATCAATACAGTAGAGCTCTTGTTTCTTTGACCATTTACATCCAGAAACAAGGGCTTCTTGCTACAGTCATCATCACACATTGTTAGAATCCGAGTCCTACTGGGAAGGTGCAGTATCACTTCCTAGAGCAGGCTCCACCCGGGCCCAGGAGGGGCTGGGAGGACATGGGCGGGCACCCAAGCTTGTCTTGGCCTCCGATGGTTTGGTTCTGGCCATTACTGGCAGCCACTCTAACCCCTCTCCTGTTTAGCACCGGCAAAGTGGGTTCTGAGATGCTCCAGGTCAAGGGCAGGAGGTCAGGTGACAGCTCCGAGAGGGAGGCATCTGGTAACCCTGTCTAAAAAGGCAGCAGCTACCTGGAAGGGGTGCATGGCCCAGTGACAGCCAGGGGGCTGGGTGCTACGCCAGGCAGAGCCACCTGGGCAACAGACAGAAGTTCCCCTTGCTCCCTGGGTCTGAGTATCCAGTGGTCTTGTCTGGGAAGTTGGTTTCTAGAAGGGGAGTTTGCTTTCCAGAGACAAGTCAGAATGCCATGCCTAGCCTCAGGGTGCAGCTACTTCCCTCCCTCAGGGCCGCCTCATTACTCCCGAGGAGCACGATGGGAGTCAAGCCTGCTCCCTCTTTGGGTGGCCAAGACACCTCTCTGCACCCCAGCTTTATCATCACAGACTCCGGCCTAAGGAAGAAGGATACTGCAGCTTTCCAAACAGTGTCATACACAGAGAAGACAAAGACAGGCATCTGATGTTAACAAAAATAGTAACAAAGAAATGGGATCAAACCAAATCTCTTCTCACAGCGCCCTATACTACACCCTCCTTCTGCTTAGCAGAAAATTGTACGTACGTACACAAAAATACAAATACACAATTTTGTAGAACAGTCTGGTTTTAATATATTTATATATATATTTATACGAGTGGCAGGTTAGTTCATTATAGAGCTTTTTGCACTTTTGGCTCATATGCAACAAGGCTTATAAATTCAGCTTTAGCTTTCATTCAGATTTTATAGCTTTTGAACAATTTTTTCACATTTAAAGCAGCATCCAATTTGCACTAGGAGTCTGTGGTGATTACGGGAAAAGATGGGGTCAGGAGGTTATAGGGTGGGACGGTATACATTCCAGTGTGTGTGGCATGTAAGGAGGATTCCATGTGGACAGAGCTTGCCATGATGACCCCTTGAGGTAGACTGAACACCTTACAGCAGACTCAGACACAGGTGCAACACCCTCAGGGATACATGGCACACAAGATGGGGACAGAGACCAGAGGAGACACCAAAGGAAAACACAGAGACTAAGACACACAATGGCCAAGGCCAGGAGGGCGCTCTGCCCCCTTCCCCCACCCATCCAGCAGGATCCTACACAGTCACACTGAATGCCTGCGGGCAACCTCAAGACATCGGGTCCCTGGTGTCTGGTCCAAACATAGAAGCCTGCTTTCCACTTCCCAGCTGGCCGTGCCAGCTTGTTCCCAGCCCCATGGTGAGCTCCACCAGCTGTGCTCCAACAGGAGTGGCTGCCACTCCTCAGCACTCTGCTCTTGCTAGAATGTTCAAGTCCAGTCAGGGCCCAGAACCCTGACCCTCTTGCTCTGCCTCAGAGCTGTCCCCCCTCAGTCATGCATTTGGTTGACATTCCTCAGTCTCACTGGGCCCAGCAGGTGCCCGAGGCCATGAGTGCTGCATCTAGGGGAGTGGGTAACAGCACCCCTGGGGGCAGCATGGTAGGCATGCTCCACAGAGCCTCGTTTTCATCATCACTTGGCCACTCACCCACAGCTTTCCCTTCTCTAGGTAAGGCAGTTTTACTGGTAAGGTTGTCCATGCCTGTTACATGCAGAGGACCAGTGTTTGCACTACCCCACTGTCTGAACAAAAGAAACCCCGGTGTCTGTATATGGACTGTTCCCGTCCCACTCGTCACCTGTGTTACACAACAGAGCACAGCACAGTCACTAATCTGTCCTATCCCTCATGTAAATAAAGGCCTGAATCTAGTTTAGACTTGATCTTCAAAACAAAACAACGCTTTTTGAAAAATGCACATTGGGTCTTAATGCGACTCTACTGATGATGGCCTTGGGCTCCAGTACTCGTGGTGGCAAAAGGGCACAGGTCTATCAGCCACGAACCCTGCCTATCAGCTGTCTGAGCTGGAATGTTCCCCCAGTGCTAACAGGCAGAAGCTGTCTCACGCCTGCTGCTTCACTCGGTAGCCGCTGAGCTAGACCTAGCTAAGTAGATTCCTTAAAACCCACCTAGGATTCGAGACCACAGTCACATCAACAGAAGGAACACAGGAGACAGTGACAAAGCCAGCCCTCTCCCCTCGCTTGCCCTTGTGACCATTCTGAAGGCAGAATGGCAGGGGCACTGGGTGGATGGGGGGTGCACGACACCCACCCTGAGGCTAGGTACACTGGTGGGCAGGACAGGACACAAGCCAACTCTCAGCAGGTCCCAGAGGTTTGTAACTTGCTTAGGCACTTAACATAAATGAGAATTTTATCCCGGAAGGTACAGCAGACTCGACTCAACCATGACCATGGAGGAGAGGCTGAGCCCATGATCTCTGAGAAGGCTGTAGGCTCTTCCAGGGGAGCAACTGCCACACTCCTGGCACCCTGTAGAGAGTGTCCTATCTTGCAGCCAGTGAAGTTATGTAGTGGCGCAGGACCAGTCTGGCCACTGTGGTCCCTGATCTGCACCTCACGAGATGCAGCTACCCTGACACTGCTCAGGGTCACTGTGAGAACCACCAAGAGAAGGGAGCTTTCATAGTGGTGTTGTGGGAGAACCAAAGAGCAGGAAGGAGAAAGCTTGCCAGAATGACCAGTGCTTGGAAGGAAAACTCTACCCACCCCGAGAACTTTGGTTTGGTTTTTCTGGTGCCCATTTTCAGAGATGCATGATGAGGTCCCCACAGATTTCAGTACAGTCAACATGGGCATCAAGGCAAATGATAAAGCGATTGCTTTCTGAGAGCAGCCACGAGCACTCACTCCACTCAGCACACACGACTCCCACAGGCACCTCCCCGCCTGCAGATAGGATAGGGCCCAGGAAGCATCAGCAGAGTGGCTGCTGTTTGTGTTCATAGAACTCTAATGCCATTTGGTTTTCTAGTCTAATGGCCTCAGCAAGCCATGGAGTGGACAGACAGCCTCACAGGTTTAGGCTGGGCTCTTAGTTCCAGTAAAGCAAAATGGGAGGGGTTTCTGGGCTTAGGAAGATACAAAACAAGACTGGAGAGATTTGACCTGGAAGCGCTGAGAAGCGAAATCCTGGAGGGAGCAACGAACCTTCAAACACAAGTCCCTGGGACTGGCCTCTGTCTTGAGCCCTGGGTAGGCAACAGGCACTGATTTTATTCCACAATTTCCATGGCACCTTTGGCCACCAACAGAGATGCAAAATTTTGATCATACCAAAATGAAAGGCACACATATTCTTTCTCTCCAAATCAAGGTGTTGGGGGCAAAATGAGGATAATGTTAAGACCCCCCCCCCACACACACACACTCTGGCCAGCTAGTGTAGTAATAAGGTGTCAGAAGCTCCAGGAGCTGGCCTGCTGGGTCCCTGAGCCTTGTTCCTCAAGTACTTTCCATTGTCTTGGGCTTTAAGGCTACCCATGATGTGACAAGAGATGGGAAGAGGACAGTGACCCAGCCAACTCTTGGAGAACCTACTTTTGTGAGAAAGAGCTAGAAAAGAAGGTGGGGAGAGGAGTGGAACAGGTCAACCTGAAGATCTCCCTTATTTGGTGCCCGACCAATACTAAGCCTCCACGTGATCCTGAGGCAGCTTGCTCTATTCCTGGATTCCAAATATTAAGAAGTTCTTATTCTAGGCCTAAATTTGGACATCTTCAGGCATTTACTTATGGGGTGGTCAGTGTTGATGAGGAGCCAAGGTCATGGCAGCATGGCCCTGATACCCAACACCAGAACCTTGGATTCTTTAATGCCCCTACCTCCCTTTCTTGTGGTAGAGGGACAGCAGGTTCGTGGGAGTGTTCACCACACACTTGGGAACTCAAGCATGATGCCCAAGTCCCAGGAGTTAAGTGCTGCAAGAACTGAAAAGAGCAGGCTTCAGGGCAGTCGCCGGCAAGTGGGGAGGGCTGGGCTAGCACCCTACAGCAGAAGGCTGCAGAGAAGAGGACGACAGAAGTGTCTGTGGCACTGGGGTGACCCAGTGCTGCCAAAGAACAGCAGGCAGGTTGGCAGTGACCTCAGCAGAACAAGATGACACATTCCCCAAATGCTAGCATCTTCCGATTCTTACAATAATCATTTTTGGGATTAGTTTTTTTTTTTTTTTTTTTAAAAAAAGCTATTCAGAGGCAAATACTACCTACACTGTCCTTGACAACTAAGCCAGTTTTGTGTGTTGAGGTGGGGGTATCTGTAGGAATATAGGACTATGTACCTTGGGTAGTGTGTTTTTAACCAGTGGCCCCCTGGAGCACCCAAGCAGGTTAACATTAGGGACTTCTTGTTGAATGCCAATTCTGGTCCCCCAAAGACCCTACGTACTGCTGTGTGTAGTACGTATCGTACAAATCACAAGATCAGCCCAAATAGTGTCTTTTCAGAATTGAATCAGAAGGCTGAAACGTAGATAACTACTATCACTCAGCAGCTGGGAAAGTAAGACAGGGTTCAAAATCCACTGTTCTCAGCCAGGTTCCAAGGAGCGCACGTCTGACCTGTGTACATTTCACTGAAGGTATCTGGAGGAATCAAACCGAAGCATCTCCATGAACAGAATCTTTTCCACACTCTCTGTGTGTCTGTGTGCTGAGGGAAGAGGGCGATCTAGACCTTTCTAGGCAAGTACTCGACTCCAGCCACTCCACACGACAGAGCTAAGACCAGCATCCTGGTTGACTAGTGTTCTGGTGAGAGGGGCATTCTGTAGAAAGGGTGAAGACACACACACAGCTACTACCCAAACCCACAGTGTCCAGCCTGAGAAAGGACAGGGCTCATGGACTCCAACTAACCTCACCGGAGTCTTGAGCCTCACGGGCAGCAGAGAGCTTATAAAAGGCCACTTAGCACTGGTAGCTGCTGGCATTCTTGTGGACCCTTCTGCTCCTCTAACTGAACCAAGGCTCCTGCAAAGGATGACTAGAAAGAAAAAAAAAAAAGCACAAACTAAGCATCAGCTGGAGGACTAGCAATTCCTGCAGTTCCTGGTCGTGAGGACGCCACAGGCTAGGAGGATTACATGACGCCTACCTGAAGGCACAGGCGCACAAGGAAAATAAACAAACTGGGGGGCTTCTGAAGAGTCAAGAACGCAGCACTGACAGCAGACAATCACTAGGAGGCGTGCATTAGCCAAACAAGCCTGACATGAGCAAGATGGGGTGTGTGGACACCTGCTCCTAGGGCCTGAGCTCACACCTTCCTGTGTGTACCTGTTCTTGTCATGTTATCTGTTCTGGGCCTTATGGTCCCATAAGGAAACCACTACTCAACTCTAAACTCCCATGTGACACTTTCTGATGGTCATGGCAGTGGAAATAAGTTTCCAAGGAAAAGCCTAAAAATATCACGAAGCCCAGTAAAGCAGCAGGTATCCCCAGGAGAGGTACCCCAGCTACCGGCGAGAGGATGGAGACAGAGGCTCGGCCAGAGGCTGTCTCAGTTTGTTGACTAGTTTCTGGCCAAAGTAGAATAGGTTGAAACTGGACACGAGAGGTTTCAGAGAATTTCAAAGCCAGATGCAGGCAAAAAGCAGTCTATTCTGGACCGGATATGATTCCCAATCCTCTCTCACCCGGGTGAGCCATGAATCCTATGTCATTATTTTGGTTTACTGAGCTGCTGTTCTCAATGTTCTCGGGAGCATTAGTGCTGGAAGGGAACAAGGATGGGTGCTCTGCTATTCTCAATCACATAAAGGACAGAAATCCTCTTAATTATGACCATGCCAATCTACATCCTGCTAAAACAGCTAATTACATGTCAGGAGGACACTCAGTCATTCGGAACAATTGCCATTATACTTTTATATATTCATTCTTCGCTCCCTCCTCAATTACCATGGTTACAGTTCGAAAAAAGACTCAGCCAAACCTTCATTTGATCACAGTACACCACCATGAATTTGTGAGTTAATTATGGCTGTATGGAGCCAGTCTTATTTAAAGAGAGAGAAGACGGACATGGAGTCAGGGGAGCTGGCCTCCTGGGTGTTCTAAGTGGGGCACCAAGTTCCCCAACAATAGTACTCAGCCTGCAAACAGAAAGGTCTTGCAGCGAAGGGAGGCAGCGGAGTTCCCCTGCTCCCAGCAAGGGCTAGTGGTGAAGGGCGGGATGGTCTTGGGAGGGAACCCCACCAGTGGAAGAAGACTTTTCACATCTCCCCCGAGAGGAACCAACTCCATTCAGTTCTGATGGATGTCAAGAAGGATAAAGCAGCTTGGGAGGACAACTGGGCCCTTGGTGATGAGATGACAGACAGCTGAAGGAACCTTCCCTCTTGGTTAAAGAAGAAAATCAGTGTTGTGGAGGTCTGGGTGGCTCAGGTTACTAGCTGATTTTTCTGATTTTTTTTTTCTTAACAGCCCCCCCCCCCCAAATAGTGTAATGAAGTAGCTAAAGAAACCTCTAGTTCTCAGGCTTCAGTTTCTAACAGTCCATAGATGGGCACAAGGCTTCATTTCTGAGCATCTGTCAGACCTGTATCTGCCACAAGCATAATGTTTGCCCTTCAGTTTAGAAACAAACGGTTTTAAGAAAAGCCTTTTGGAACACACTCTGTAGGAGAGAAGCTTCTGCAACCAGAACACCGATCTGCCTTCGTACGTCAGTTCTCTAGTGCAATGAGGGCTCCTCTTAAAGTGACGGTCATCTCTGAAATGGAGGGTGTGTGATGAAGGAGGATGTGCAGGGCAGGGCCCCTGTTCTTAACACAGGCTACCATGACAGCCTTAGAAAGCGGCTGGCCATGCTTGGCTGCCTCCCTGGAAAGCCTCACGGTTGTCCAGGTGCTCACCGTGACAGTCACAACACAAGACACGGAGACGGTTGCTAAAGGGTCTTCAGAGCTCTCGCTCAGGTCGCTAAATTTAGTATGGCTGATAACTGGTGGCCCGATCCCGAGTAAGCACACTTGTGCACACACAAAGCATGCGGTGCACGTGTAATTCCTACCCCTGCCCCAGTGCATCCCAATCCACTCCCACTCAAACACATGCACAGCAGAACTGGTCGATGCAGCCAACCTTCACTTGGAGAATCGTAAAAAATGAGTTTGGCTCAGTATAGCTGTAAGTGGACTTGGCTGGCCTTCGAATAGCCTCAGTGACTGCAGTAGTAAAACACAGCTGATAATGATAGCAATAGGGAGACGTCACAGAGACGCACAGAGACTGATGCACTGCAGGAGGCAGAGAGCCTCTGAGCACAAGACCACCGACCACAAGAAAAGTTATTGCCTAGGAACTTGGTGAGGTTCATGGGAAAAACTCAGGCTGTTCTCTAAATAAGAGGAAAATAATATAAAAGTAGAATTGAGTTAAATGGGAATGTTTAGGATTTTTTGTCTGTTTGCTTCTTGAGACAGGGTTTCTCAGTAGCTATAAGTCTGTCCTGGAACTTGATCTGTAAACCAGGCTGGTCTTGAACTCACAGAGGTCGGCCTGCCTCTGCCTTCCAAGTGCTGGGATTAAAGGCGTGAGCCACCACCACCTGGGGAATGTTGCCCATAATCTCAGCACTCGGGAAGCAGAGGCTGGTGAGTCTCAGAGTGAGTTCCAGGACAGCCAGGGCTACACAGAGAAACCCTGTCTCGAAAACAAAAGGGGATGCAGTGGGTGATGCTGCTTCTAACCAAATCCTTTTTGGGATGAGAGAGAATAAAGATTTGAAGGAAACATTCTTACAACAGACTAGAGAAGTCATTGTGGAAAGGGGATTATTCTCAGTGTAGACAAAGGAAGTGGGTGTGGCAAATGGAGTTTTGGCTACCCAAAAGAGGAAGGAGGGTTCGAGTCTGGGGGTGGATCAGGCGAGAGAAAATGTCTCGTGAAGTCCGCTCCAGACAGAGATGCAGTGCTGACACAAAATGGAAGGAGGGGATGGAGAGAGACGGAGTGTCCCTGTGGACTAGGGCCCTCTATCGCTGGTGCCTGATGACTGTGGCCAAGAAGAATTTAAAGCAAGAATTCCTAAAGCTAGAGAGCTGAGATGACTGTATCACAGCTCTCTGTATGCTATCCTCACGAGGTGAAAATAAATCCAGGTATCTGCTCCTAAAAAACTAGGTGTGGCTGAATGATGAACCTCCCAGGAACTGGAGCTCTGGAGTGGGGTACAGGAGCCCAATCAGGCTTCAGCTCACTCTTGTCTTTCCAAGGTCACGGAACCAAGGGGCTGTCTGCCTCCCCATTCCAGGTCCCTCCTCCTGTAGCCTGCCTTGTGTGGCTGTTGTGACCTGAGGGCACTGCACAGTCGCACACAGGAGAGCACTGTATTGCCCTTCCTGGCTATCCTCTGCTGCTGGCTGCGACTATCTTCAGATAGGCAGGAATATCTTAAGATGGTCCTTTGTTAACAGGTCGTCATGTAAGGTACTAGAAGGTGAGAAGTTGCCTTCCTACCCAGCAATAGTAACTCGAAGTGCCTGAAAAAAATAAAACCTCACCACACTCTCTGAATGCCTGTCCCCCCCCCCCCCCTTTAACATCTTCATTGGTCAAGAAGGCACAACTCCTGACAGAGATCTCCGGGGCCACAGAAGTACAGGAGGAGGTAAGAGCAGAGACAGGCAAGCAAGAGCAGAACTCTTTTCCTTTCAGCTGGGAGGCTTAAGTTTCTAATTTGATACCATACCTAAAACCCGGAAAATCTTCAGGAAAGATTTACCACCCAAAGGAGGAGTGAATGTGGCAGCTCTGAGGCCACCCCGAGAGCTCAGGGACCGGGACACAAGAGTAGAACCTGGTGACCCCCAGGAAATCACCTGATAGTAGATTTGAACCTTGTTCCCAAAGAAGCAAATTCCTACTGTGGGTCAGAAAGCGCAGGTTCCGTGTAAGGCTGTGTGAGTCTGTGGGCATGCGGCAGTTTCTCCAGCAGCAGGACCAGCCTCTGTGGCAGCTGTGCCCTCCCAGGGCTACCACACTGCCACACAGAGCTGGAACTGCCTGCACCAGCCAGCTCTAGCCTCAGCCGTATCCCCTGCTTCTCTCTCAAAGGTCTTAAGACAACAGAAGGGTTTGCTTTTCTGTTGCAGTCAGAGTTCCCTTAGAAACTGGAGCTGTCGGAACAGCTGAAGTCTGTTCCCTTGACAAGGCGAGCGAGAACAAAGGACACGAGCAATGGCACCATAAAGAAGTCGTCAGTTACTATGACCTCGTGGTCAATCATGGATGTGGCTCATCAGAAAAATATGGTTCCCCCTCCTGTTCATTTTGATTCAACTGAGAATGAGCAGACAAAACCCAACCACAATGGAAAGACACAATAGGTATATTCCTCTGAGTAAACAAAAGCAAAGAAAGACAATACAATCTCCTAAGTGAAATAAAATAAATCAAATAAACCATGGAAGATTCTAAGTAGGTATGGGGCGCTCTTTCCTGAGAATAAGAAATGCTACTCTTAAATTTGTGGGTTCAAGTACTACAGTAAGAGAAGATGGCTCCATTTTACTTCAGTTTTCGGAGCTGGGAAAAACACACGTTTCCCCCTGAAATCCATGGACAGGAGCAGGACCAGGCCCTACCTAGTGCTCTTCAAAGTCTCAGACGTAGGTGGGGTGGTATCCTCAGGCCCCTCAAAGACGACTCCTCACACGCATGTAACCAAGACTGACAGCTAAAGGGATCATCCAGTCAGAGTGTGTCCCAGTAAGACCAGCTAAGTGCTGTGGATACTGAGGATCCACCAGCAAGAAGGGGAGGAGGGTCAGTGTGCCCTCCTCTCTCAACAGCTCTGAAAGTTAAACACATTTGGTGAAGGAGGATCTAAGGAGACAGTACCTACTTTCTGTCTTAGAAATTGGTTCAGGTAATGGACAAAAAGACGGAAGCCCTGCTTAATGGCCCACTCCACACTGCCCTCCAAACAAGGCTTTGTCGGACACACAGAGGAGAGATGGGATGAGGCAGAAAACACTTTGCCTCTCTCAGACACACACTGTACCAACACACTGAAGGCTGCTTCTTCTTGCCCACAGTGACAGTGTGTCATTTAATCAGGTTGCCAGGATCATTTTCATACAAGGCCAGCAGATGTAATTTCCTTTGATGCATGAATAGTTCATCATTTTGCTACTAGATGACAAGGTGATCACAGGGTGACTTTATAACATAAGTTCACTGTTTGGTATTTTGAGTTCTCAAATTGAAAAAAAGATTTATCAAATATAAATATCTTTAAAAAGTAACAAAAGTGCTACATATGTGATCAAGGAAAAAAATTCCATTAGTTACTGCCGCTTAAAGTAGATTAAACTACAAATATTACCACATCCATTATCAATATGGCTTCCAATTATTAAATAAATTGCCTATAGCAATATAGCTTTCACACCTCCACAAGGACAGAGTAATGGGAGCAGAGCAGACACATCCTGCTGCGCCCCGCACTCAGGATATAAGTGGTAAATGTCCCCTGCTTTTTCTGCCCCTAGCTAGGCAAGGATCTGGATCTGTGACAGTCGAGGCAGCACAGTCCCCAGGAGAGTTCTAGCAACCCTGGGAGGCTTCAGGGGATGGGTACAAAGCCTGACCTTTCACTCACTTGACCTCAGCTCTATCCTCAGAGACGTGTTTGGTAGCAGGGAGGGGGCACCAAGGAGACAAAGCGACTTGCATGGTATCTCCAGCACTCTCCCAGGAAGGCTGGCACCACGCTGTGGAATGTATGGCGGCTCTGAGAACTGGGCTTAGCATCCATCTGACACTCAGCTCATGCTTTCCCCTATGCTCTCAAGCTGGGTTCTGCTTTTCAGAATTTGATTTTTTTTTTTGTCTTTTTTCGTTTTAGGATCGTGGTCCCAAAGGCAGAAGGCAGTATGTTATCTACTAAGTCACACAGCTTGCGAGAGGAAAGGATGTCTGTGTTGCCCATATTAACACTAACCAAGGTCTGAGCTCGGGATTCCAATGACGTTCTTAGCACAGCACCCAAAGAAGTATAGTCTAGTCACGCTGTGACTAGGAGGCACGGCTTATTGCAGCTGAAATCAATGACTCTCCGGCTGAGGCGGGGCTCTAGTGTTCCTTGCGCTCCGTGGATACTTCCCGGACGGTGTCTGTTGGTCCTGTGCCACTACCTCAGCTTGCATCCTGTCAGTCTTGGGGCAGGAACAGGGTAGAGCCTAGTGTTACATGAATCTAAAGGTACCCAAGATTTTACAGAGCCTACTACTTGAGAACTGAGGGTTATCTATATACCTGGAAGCACTTTCTTGGAATGCTAAGACGGAGCAGCAAGATTTCTTTAGCCTCAGGGGCTGGGAGAGGGACGTTTGGTTGGTTGGTTATTACTTACTGGGATTTTAATACTGAGAGAGTATATGCAAAGGCGGAGGGCACCATGCCATCTTCACAGAACAAGACCCTAACGGCTACCTGACATACAAGAAACTGTAAGTTATACTGTAAGAACACATGTTAAGGACCGAGGAAAGTCTGCTAAGGTGCTACGTCTAAACTAAGTAACTGTGTGATCCTCCCTGATCAGTCATCATCCAGGGCCTCTGTCTTGATCTCATTGGCTCCCTGCTGGGCCAATGCCAAGATAGTGTGGTTGACGGCTGCCATCTCCACAGCTAGTGAGATGGGATCTTGGTGGTCACTATGGCTCGTGCTGTCATCCTAGATGTGTAGAAATAAGAAATGAATGTTATTCGTTGGCTGGTAACAATTCTCAAGCTCACAAAAAGGCATGCAGGGTGCCGTGCAGGGGACAGAAGCATCTGTGGAGGAAGCTGCCGAGTGCATCTCACGGTGGAGTGAATTGTATTTAAGTAGACACTGAATGGACATGGGTCCAGAGACTTCAAGTGGTTTTGTGACTCAACAAAAAGGACAAAAATGATTTGATTTGTTCTTTTTTGCACTGAGAATTAATTTATTCTATCAAAAAATTGCTAGTAGTGATCAAACCTGAAGTGATTAAAATAAACTAGTAATTTGGGTTTTTCTGTTTGCCACAGACACAACAGTAATCACTGAGCCCAAACTAGCGCACTCCTAAACCCACAAGGCTACTGAGTGGCTACTGGAATCCACGGTGTCACTGCTGAGACAAGCAAAGAAAACGCAGAAGAATAGACGTCTACACCTTACAAGTCAGGGAGGTCCTCAGTTACACAAGTCACAAGTGCAGCGTCCCATTTAGAGCTCAGTGAAGCTCTCCACCCTTCAAGCTACACACATTACACAGCAAAGCTGCTGACAGGCTTAGTGGCACATGTCTGTAACCCCAGCACTCCCCAGCTGAGGCAGGAGACTGACTTCAAGTTCCAAAACCAAACCAAACCAAACCAAACCAAACCAAACCCAGACAACAGAGAAAGGAAGTTGTGAACGAAGCTGTCCTTACAGGGTGTGTGCTGGGCACTGAAAGTGCTAACAGAGAGAAGGGGTGTTTCTCACCTGTCACATCTTCAGGGGACTCTGTACCAAAGAGCTTTGGAAAGGGTAAGTCCCTTGGGGGAAAAAGCATAGGATGTGCTGCCCTCAGGGCATCTGCAAAAAAAGATGGAAATGATCCATCTATGTGGGTCAGCTGAAGAATGACAGGAAGGTTTTCGACAAGAAAGAAACAGAGCACGCTCCTGAGCCAAGGGTGGAGACGTGCTGGAGAAGAGACTCTCTTGGGGGTAGATGATCTTCTGGGACACATGGCTGCTACTCTTTCCTTCTGGCTTTTAGAGTTTAGCCCTTAGGACTGAAGAAGGGATCTGCAGAGACTCACGCGCCCCTCTGGAGTACTGGGGTCCACAGAGGTAATGGAACACCGAGAGAATGAAGAACACGGCAGACTGAGGGACAGGGAACCCACCAGAAGAAAGAGCAAATGCTTTCTTGCCAGAGTCTAGGGAAGGGACTGTGTCCTTTGAACTTCTCAAATGGAAATGAACCTTAGATCCTATAGAGATTGTTAATGAAGTCTGTCAACACGTTTGTGGGTGGGGGGTACTCCCCCACTTGTAGTGGCTGACTTATTCCATGCAGTGGCTACAATTAAATACACTTTCCCCAGGCAATGCAGAACACAGCAGGATGAGGTGAGAAGACATGCAGGCATTGCATTTATGACAAGATGAGTGTGTCAATGTCCAGAGATACTCTGGTTAACCCCTTCTCTGGGCATGAGAGTTCCCACTGTAATGGGGCTGGAGTGGGCGGGGCCTTCTGTTGTGCCCTGCATGGTCCATATGTAGGCACCACCACCGCTGCCCGCGTGCCCCTAAGTGCTTCTCAAACACTGTGTATGTGGTAAGTGGTTAACTTGCTTGTTTGGGTCAGATCCTCCTCTCTTCTTCTACCTTCTCTGCTTCTCTGCCTCCCTCTGAACTTCTTCCCTCCTCCTCCTCCCCATTGCGTGCTTGCCAAGTGTCCTGTTGTGTGACAATAAACCCATGGGGTGGATAGAAATTACTCACAGATTTAACAGGACAACAGAATCTTACCACATGAAAATCTAACTAGATCCAACTGCTCTCCCCACCTCCCCATACGACCACACCCACGAACTTGAGTTGCCATACTGCCCCACCACTCTGTAACCAGAAGCCTCAGCTCAGCCACCTACCTGCTCGGAGTAGTCGTTCCCGTCCACGTCATCACTGTTGGAGTGGCCTCCTGGACTCTGTACGTCTATCCCATGACTCTCCAGGATTGCTGCTTCTTCGAAAAAAGCAAACAGTTCCCTAAATTATCTGCTGCCTCATCACCATGGTTTTCATGGTGAGGAAGTCAGAACATAGTTAATCTGTTTCTAACTATCTGTAAACGGGAGAAATTCAAGTCTGTGTAGCTCAGGGTAGAGGCCTGGCTTCTCTACACATTAAACTACCAACCTGGACTGTTGGGTATTCATAAAACTCCTGAAGTCAACAGCTGTCCTGGTGGGCTGTGCAAAGCAAATGAGAACTGGGTGGACCAGGAAGAAGCACATTCACAAATGAAATGCAACCGTACTTCCTGTGGTGCTGGGGATCAAAACCAGGTCCTTTCGGTCACCGAGCCACCCCAGCCCTGACATGCAACTTTTACTCTCATCTCACCCGCTCAAACCTCACTTTTACTAGTTTTGAACAGGACAAAATCCTGTCTTTTCTTCTTTTTTTTAGTTGAGCGCACATTTTTCCCCCAGGCATTCTCACATGGTCTTCCAGCTTTATTAAGTTGTTGTTGGCCAGTGGAAACTGTTTGTTTATGGTATACAGACAGTATATATCAATAAGTATACACTGTGAACTGACCAAACCCGATGTTAGATTTCTGATATGCCCTTTATTGCTACTTCTGCTTCTTGTCTGCTGAATCTCTTCTATTCCAGCTACTGATCAGATGTTTCTCAGTGTCTAGGTCATAGCTGTAGCAGTAACCGGCAGGCTGGGAGCATCACAGTTCCTTTCTTAGGACACCCCCCAGAAATCCTTAATATGAGTCACTTAAGAAAGCCATTGCTCAGGGGTTAATTCTACAATCTAGAACATTTAAGAACAATCAGCTTTATAAATAACGAAGTCGTTATTAAAATATAAATAAAATAGTGCAGGTAACACTGACCTCGCTATTAAAAATGCAATGAAGAGAAGCAGTGGTCCTTCTTGGCAGCCCTAAGTGTTGGGATCACTTAGACCTGCAGCTCATAAACTGGCCACTCTTATCTCATTTCTAAACTTCTCATGAGAGAGGGCAGTCTCTCTGATACATTACCGATATTGGCTCTCCTCTTGATCTCCTTCCGTCTATTAGCAAACCAATTATAAACTTTCAGAGAGGTAACTCGTTCCAGGTCAGACAGCTTTATGCCTGTGAATGCATGCAACAAAATTCAGATAATCTGTATCTTGGATCCAAGACTGAACTGTTCTTAAGAAATATTTCTTTGCTAAAAGTTGCTTTTGATTCTATTTATTGCCAAAATAACAGATGGGGTGGAATCTTTTTTTAGCATTGCTTAGCACTAAGAACCCAGTAAAATTATTACTGCATCAACAAACACATAAATGAACACACAGCTAGCCACAACTCAGGAAGACATGTTCAATATTAAAAAAAATCCACCAAGTCCGATTACTAGGATTCCAGATCAAATCATAGTTTCCATGTTAGTTCCGGAGAGGTGTCATTTTAATAGCAGCACTGAGAGGGATGTTATTCTTTATGGACTTATACAGATAAAATCCTGGCATCTTAAGATATATGTTATATATCATGTACGATAGGAGATACACATTGTGTTGAAGGCTAATGGCCATGTACCCATCCACTTTGTGACTGTTCTGGAGCACAGTACCACCCAGGTTAGAGTTCAGATTCCCTGTCCTCTTGGTCACCACAGTTAATTCTTATGGAGATAACATCTGTGCTATCTCCTCCTCTCCTGGCCTCTTGTTTTCAGCTTTTAATAGGTGTGTGTTTTCCAGAGGGAGCAAATCCCTTGCACTGGGACTGCGGGCCTATGCACTCAAGGCCCAGACTCCCCTTACCTAAAGGTAGACCTGAGTGTGTTGGGTAATATCACTAGAAGCTGACTTCCTAAATAAAGGAGATTAATCTCCCTCACCATATAAAACTCTGATATTCACGTAGTCTTTAAGCCATCAAAACAAGTGACCACGTGGAAACCAGCTGCTTGTGTCAAGTCTCTCAAGTATGCAGGGGGTATGGTACATAGGAAGTACCAGAGTGGCTATGGACCTCCACAGGAGACTTCAAAAGGAACCACCATGTTCCCTTAGCCAGGCAGAAGTCACCCGTCCCAGTGTGGGAAGCAGATAGAGTTCAACTCCAAAAAGCTGCCCCACAAAGGAATACAGCTCACATAATTTTATAGCAATGGTGAACAAAATGGTTTTACATACTTTTATCAATAAAACTTGCTTGAATTTTCACACTTTACCATTATGTCAGAATTGATAAATTTATGCTAAATTTTGGACAAATAAATCCAAAATTAAAAACATAAAAAAAATCCATAATTAAAAACAGGGCCTAAGTCTCATGGAGAGTCATGGTGTTGACTACTTCATCCATGTCACATGAACATCAGGAGTACTGCTTGGAGAACACTGGGCAGGGACCTGCACGAGGGTGAGTGTACAGACCACTGAATGTAACCGAGCATTGCCCTCTGAGCTCACCCTCCTTACCTGGCTTCTGTATGACTGCATTGCAGGCGTTGGCAATCTCTTCTCTCTTTGCTTCATCTGGGTATTGATTCTCATTGAAGTAACTGCAGGGGCAACCAACAAAGGCACATTTTACTTTAAATGTGCTCATTAAAATGTCTCCTTTAAGATGTAACTTGGTATAGTCCAGGATGTCCGGAAGAACTTTTTGGTGGATAGAAACAGTTGCTAGTGTTTCTATGGTAACCACTACCTATGTACCTACTGTGCACCTGAAAGGAAGACAACGTAAGGAGTAGATTTGTTTCTTACTTAATTTAAATTACTCTGTGTGACTAGTGGCTACACGCTGCTGTGCTTCACTAAAAGATTCCTCTAAGATCAAAGTTATTTTTTTAATGAGTGCACTTGGTGATGATCATGTTAACTGAATCAAGCTAGTCTTAGAAACATAATATTATGCCTATTCTCATGAGTGGGTGATTCTTAGACCTTCTATAGCTACATACAACTGTGGATGTGTGTATGTCATGACCTCAGAAGTAAAACTAACTGGGAGAAGCAAGAGGAATAATGGGAAGGGAAAGTGAAGAAAAGGGAGGGAGGTAATACACAGCCAATACACAACAGACACATGCAGGGAAACATTACAAGTTATTTTGGTGTTCATGACTGACGAAAGTCACAGAGACACAAGAGTCATGCTGCTGAAGCATTGGTATCAGCACAGCTTTTCCCTTTTTTGGTCACTTTCTAAATAGTAGTAGAAACTGGAAATTAACCAATTATCCACAAACAAGTGGTGGCAGAACAAATTATGGGGTATTTATACTTATATTATTTTTAAACAATTAGGAAAAAATAAGTTAGCACTCCATCCACTGACCTGAATGGATTTTTACAGCATATTCCGAAGTGAGAAAAACAATGTACAGAATAATGTACAAGCACAAATGCTATGAATTAGAAGGCTCCTGTCTGCATGCGTGCTGGTTCCCATGGGTAGAGGAGAACATACATCAGGCTGAGAATACTGAGCACCCACTGTTGAAGAAGGGGCTTCAAGGGATACTTATGTGTTTCATTTTTGTACATTAGGAAGTAGATATTACTCTACTCAACAATAGTTAAAACATGAGGCTTGCTAAATCTGTTGTTAGACTGAACAGACTCATAAAATTTAGGTGGAAACAGAATGCCATTATCAGTGCTACTTTTTCTGACATCTGTGAACTTACAGAAAAAGAGAGCTTTCACGCCTTGAGCCTGGAAGCTGACAATCAGGCAATGACCTTTACTGGATTCTAGTGCCTACCAAATCTTCCTTTCCCTGGAAATCAGCCAGTTAGCAATGGCAGAAAGACCACTCACTGCCCAAATTCCTTAGAGGTCCCTCTCCTCCTAAAAGCCTGACCTGCTGCCTTCTCCTCCCTCAAGGTCTCTATATGGACAGCACACCTTCACTTCAGTTTGGGTAAAGCTGTTGCCTCATTCCTCCATCTTCTTTTCTAAAACATAAGCCTCCCAGCCATACACTCCCACCGTTGTCTCTGACCATGTTCTATATGGCTCCTTACTGTTTCCCTCGGTGTAAGCATCTCCTCCTGCATGGTCCTTGGAGTGCCAGTGTTCATTTTCAGACCCTTCCAAGCTACCATGCTCGAGGCTGCTGCATGTCCATGCTGTCCTGGCCTCTGTGTTTACTTGAACTTTTGCTTAGGCCGTGGCAGCAGCACAACTTCCATGGAGCAGACTCAGAACCAAACTTCAATATGACAGACAGCCAGGTAACCGGAACACAGACTAACGTCTGAAACGTCACCCAGCTGACTCATTTACCGCCATCAAGGAGCTCACAATCTACTCGGGACAGAAGGATATACATAAGTGTGCTTGTGGTGAAAGGTCACAGGATTTGTGTGGTCACGCTTGTGGGAGGAGTCTGCAAAGATGTCACAGGGAAGTCTGAGCTAGGTCTTGAGGACTGGCACTGTCAAGGGCGATGGCAGATGAGACCACGAGATCCCTGGGCACCGAGAAGAGCAGAGTGTGTTAAGAGCACGGCCTTCATAGGACGGTGTGATGACATCAGTGCTATTGCTGATCACTTCGTCAGGGGAGAGGGGACAAGCTGGCAATGCACTTGCTCTGTCCTCTAGGAATGAAGGGCCATCCACTGAAAACCAGGTTTTCATACAACAGAAACATGATTCTACCTGTGCTTTATAAGAAGAGAACACGCCTCCAAATGTATCGTTCTGAATTCTCCCTCCATGACTTTAAATTCTGAATTCTCCATTCAGCCTCCTCCTGATCTACATCTCTGCAAACTTTAGCCTTCATCTTCCCAGCAGTCACTAATCCTGTAATTGTTTCTCCTCTCCTAAGTAAAAAATAAATGTTTACTACTTCTAGGCGCAGCCCTTACTTCTTGCCCAAATGACAGACAAGCCAAACTTGTCTGAGAGGAAGGGAATTGTACTGATGAGTTGTTCTGTTCTGTGATCCTGCCCTGCAAATCTCCTGCGGCACAGCACCTTCCTTTTACTCCCGTCCTCCTCTGAGGACCGAGTGTTCCAAACACCACACAACAGCGCCAAGCGGTTTCCTTCCTCTGATGGAATTCTTTCATGACTCGTTCCTCTGAAAACCTTTCTACTCTGAAGTCTCAAGCCCTCAAAGCCACCACTGCCCGTCTTTCTGCAGATGACCTTGCCTTCGCGGTTATTGGCTTGCTAGATTTTTTAGCTTCTGAACTGCTAAACTTCTCTAGGCCATTATTCATTTCTTTTCCCATAGCCAAGAAAACATAAATCATTCCCCTTTTCAAGGTCAACTTCTCTACTTGTCCTTAATTGTATCCCCTCTCCCTCTCATTTTCTCGAATTCTTTCTTGCATTTTTCAGCTGTTCTCTGTACCCATGTAAAGATCTTTTTTCACTGATTTCATCATGCACATTTCATCACTGTGACCCTTGAAATCACGACACATCTCCTAACTGGGAATATTGTTTTGCTTTTTCCTCTCTCACTGGCGTGTGCAGTAAGGTGTGCCTTACAATTAAGGCTTTGTCAGGCTGGATGGAAAACAGTGGCTGCCAAGACCTAAGGTCCCATTTAAGTGACAATTCTATGATCAGTATACCTTATAACTCTTTGGCCAAATAACCTGAAAGACCATGACTGATTCATATTCCTGACACATTACTTAGGTTCAAATATTCTCAGAGGTTTACTATGGAGGCTCGGGATTGCCTCACCACCTCCGTCGTGCTGTGGCTGCCATATAAGTAAGAAAGAGAGTAAACCTGTGCCTGTCTCCTGCCTTTTGCCTTCCTCCAGTGTGAATGGCCTGAGAAATGAGTTTTCGTTACCAAGCGAGTCCTATAGGAACTCATCTGCTCCTTTCTCACAGCTCTTCCATCTTGTACCTCCTCCTCATCCACAGAAAAGCACTGAAACCCAAGCCAGACTCCACCTCAGCTGTCTCACAGACGCTGGGGTCACAGGCGTGTACAGCTAAGTCCAACACAGAACACACATAGCTGTCAGAGGCCTTTATCTCTGCCGAGCAAGAACGATGCATAGAGCAGGAAATAAAACGCTGCTGACACGGCTGGCTTCCATAATGTGCTTCGCAGAATTCTCTGCAGGGTTTTCGAAGTGAACGAACACATTTTTACAACAAAAGGACCTTGGGGAAACACTGAAATAATTAAGAACCAGTTTGATGATTAATACAATTCTGTAGACAATTCATGCTCTAAAGTGGATTGGGATCAGGTAGAAGGCATTAGTACTGTGGTGCAGTGACTAACAAAAAAAATTGCCATACTGGTTTTGGGAGCTAAATTAAAATTTTCAGTTATTCCTGGCATAATGTTTTCTATTAACTCTAAGTTTTAGAGTTCTCTTTTAAGCTGTATTGCCAGGATTTAACTGCATACAATGAAGATCAGAGTAAGGAGACCCCAGTAACTTCTCTCAAATCAAGACCTCAGGAAAAGGATATTTTATTCATATAATTTAAGCCATATTTTTGAAAAAGCAGCATTTCCCCCTCTTTGGTTATTCTTTCTAAAGGAAACTTGAAATCAAATGCTGGAACCTTACTCTTCTTTCTATTGGAAATGCTTACAGCCCTGGACATTCTGAAATATACAAAAGGGGAAGAAATGTATGCACATGCCTGTGGATAACAACACAATGTGATAGCACATCACTAAGGACACTGTCAGTGAGTGACCAGTGCATAGCCTCCCATAGGGAAGCCAAATGACTGTTTTGCTATATGATGATGGGAAAGAATTAGAATGAAAAGTGGCAAAATAACGTCCATGAGACGAGAAGCCATGAGCTGGGCACAAATGGCAATGCCCTTGAAGCACTTCCATTTCAGTAAGACTTCAGCCCCTGAAAACTGAAGCCAGGGAATTCTTCCCTGTGTGTCTTGGTGAGACTGCAGAAAGACAGAGACTAGCCCTAAGAAGAGCTAAAGGCATGTGCGGACATTTCCCTCTGTGTCTTCATGGCTTTAGCTCTTCTTGGGGCAGAGATCTACAATCTTGCTGTTTTAGTTATCCAGAATAAGCTTCAGGATTGTTTCCCACTACCCAAAATTCTGTGTGAGTTTCTTCAGAACACATTAACATTAAACCAGCCTTCATGCTATGAAGTTTAATTGTCCTATTTAAGAGCATCTATGTGTGGAATGATCTTTAGCAATAAAACAATTAAAATGTTTTCATTTCTGTTTCTATATGATGGGGTAAAGGCAGAGATGACAGATGGGAAAGCCCTCCCAATGGAGGGATCTGTCTTTGCTACTGGCTCTAATACTTTTCCCATGCACTTACAGATCATTAAACGATATTCTACCTTTTCTTCAAACATATCAAAGTTTTTCTAAGACTGATCATACCTTTAAAAGTTTCCACGAAACAGTCTGGGGCCAGAGAGAAATGAGAAGGGTAGAGCTAGAACTCTGCTGTGCATACGACTCCATCACTGAGCCTGATCTTGTGGCAGTTAGGGGTCTTTTAAAAAAAATATTTTTTTATTTATTATGTATGCAATAGTCTGTCTACATGTATGCCTGCAGGCC